AAACGCCATCGCTCCGACAGCCCTGTTATTTGGCGTCCCACGGAGTCAATGGTTCCGTCCACTAACACAGACCGCGTGCAGCCTCGGAGTGAGTCAAGATGGGTTGAATGGATAGGAAGCAGCACCATCGGGAGAGGGAACCATCATGCTCAATTCAACCAACTGAATTCTGGCTCATGTATCACGTTACCAAGACTCGAGTCGAAGAGGCAAACACTTCAGCTCAAACCGGTATGGGCATCCAATGTTATGCCATTCGGCCGAGAATAGGACCGTTGGACAATATTCATCTTCGGGTAGCGCTCCTGTCACAGAAATGTCTCGTTTGAACTTTGAACAGCCTATCCGTTCCGGTACGGGAGAAGATCGCAAGCTTGACTCCATGGCTAACTCGGCAATCATTCATGCGAGCAGCCCATGCGATTGGTACGTTTACACTCACTGAAACGTGAACATGGGAGACTATGTTTACGCTGTCAGATTCAGATGCAAGTTGAAATTGGGAGTTGAATCCTCCGGACATGGTACATGGATGGTACTAGCAAGTGCATGAGAGTCGAGAAAGTTTAGGTGAGCTGCGGCCTGCAGAAATCACAAGTTAGAGAGCCACTGTTCCCTGTCGAACCAACCACAAGAAACCTCGGACCACCAAGGCCAGGCTGGATAGGAAGCAGCTAATTCGATAAGCGTCAATAAAACATCAGGCAAAAGCTCTAATGTGCGGGGGATGGCCAACCGAAGCGCGCCGCTCCACACCCCAGACAGTTGGGAACTGGGGAAATGCTGCCTTTTGGCCCGAGCAAGCGTGAAAGCGTGAAAGCGTGAAGCATGAAGGATGGGGATGGCCGTATATAGAAAGTCACCGCTGCCGCCATTGCAGGCAAAGTTTGCTATTTATTACTTGTTTGCTTCATTGCTTGCTTGTCTGACCTGAAACTGCTGTGCTGCACATGCACAGTACAGGACATGCAGTTTGCCCTCTTTCCTCGATCTCGAAACAGATCAATCCACTTGTGCTCGATCTCGACCCAACTATCCGAATTGCTGTTTGCTGAGAGTTTATCAACTACACCGACTCTGGGAATTGTACGCGTCCCTGCGGCGCTACCCGTCGCCTTTTGATAAGGACAAAACAGTTATCACATCCTATCGCAGGGACTGTTTGTTGCCAGCCAGCGAACGCCATCATAAAGAGCTGGTTGCACCAGCGGATCCAAGGTCGCGCCAGCACAGACGCCTTGTCCACCAGGCTTGAGCATAAAAGCCATCAACGGCATAGAGATAATGACGTTGGCTTCTGCTTGTTAGGAAGTCAAGTCAGTCAGGCACAATCACGAAACCAACCAGCTTATTATGAAGGGTCCACGCACGACCAACAACGTTTGATATCACGGTTGCAAACGGTTCCGGCACTCGATATTCGCATCCATCCACATCCGCATTTTGCTTCCCACACATCATCACGTTTGCGCGAATTACGGATACATAGTATCTTCAGCGTAACGCTGGCCGATGAACGAACCCTGGTCTTCGATTTAGGCGACACCTCTGATCAGACAAGCGTCAACAAAAGGGCCAAACAACCAAGGGCCTTCTGCTACTGTTGCTTTTACTGCCCCTGCATGGTCCGGGACGCAATCCGGCAACCACCCGGACTTGATAACCCAGTTCCGCGGGCCAGAGAAGGGTTCTAGAAGGGCCAAAGGTGCTACCGACCGGGGGCCAGGAGATTTGCTGTAGGTACCGTTTGGCCTACCATCGCGGGTCGTTGGACTTTGTGTGTGTGTCTGGTTCAGTGCAGTTCGTCAGTTGAGTAAGGTAGCAACCCAAGTGTGTTTGCTAGCGGCGGTGGAACTGGAACACGCCCGGGCAGTTATTTTACCTAGTGGCACCCCTGTTTAGGTAGCCGGACCACTCAGCACCCCTTACCCTTCCCCGTTCACCAAAGTTATCCACCGGAAAGCTTGCGCCAAAGAGTATAGTATAGCGGCATACCTTACCTTAGGTAGCCAACAATGTCGGAATGGAGCGGATTTTACTACGCTTCTGCCAACCCCTTACCCACCTTTGCTCGCCGTGCAAAGGCTGCTGCTGAAAAGGAGCGCCAGCGCCCTGAAACTCCTCCTCGATCCAATTCGGATTCACACGACATTGCCCCAAACTCCAGCCGCGCAAGACGTCCTTTTCGCCATACAAGGACGTCTAGTGGGAGTCAGGGTAGTCGTTCCTCGCACGACTCGTCGCTTGTGCATTCCATAACCAGCCCCAATACCAAAAACGGCCCCGCCCTGCCAGAGGACGACTCTCATTACTCGCACTCAAAACTGTTATCATCTGACTCGCGCCAACAATCTTCGAAGCCAGTGACGACTACAACCACGACCACGACCAAGACCAAGACCGCCTCGACCTCCAATAAACATCTACCTACCAAGAGTCTCACCAGCGGAGGCGCATCGCCGTTACACTCGCCTGTTGTCTTCAATCGGCCTGTGTACGTCGACAAGACTCGACAGCGCGATCCTCGTCGTCAATCTTCCGCTGCGACCCCAACAACAACCTCAGTTGATCTGAAAAATGTCACCATGTACTCTCAGTTGGATGCAGGCAACAAACTCATGTCAGGGACGACGAAGCAGGTAAACCTCGACTTTCCTCGAACAGACTCGGTCTCCTCCACAAGTGGCAACACAACTGTCTCGACACAAACCATGACCTCGACAGACCACTCCAACTCTGACCCCGCGACAAAGCCCTTCATCGTTAAAAATGGCCGCACCTACTACAATGACCCTACGTCAGCGTACCCTCTCCCCACCGACCTTGCTGAGCTCCATCGCCAGAGCCTGCGGACGCTCTTGATGATCCAGGTATATGGCGCACCTGTCTACACGCCATTCATCCGAAATAATCCCCCGCAGCGGGTGTTGGAGGTCGGATGTGGTACAGGATTTTGGAGTATGATGTGCCACAGATACTACAAGGAGCGAGGCCACAATGGTATTCACTTCACAGGCATTGACATCGCCCCCCTGGCCCCTGGCAGTCCTGGATCCCCTGCCGAGCTGTGCAAGCCAGACAAAGACATGAAATGGAGATTTGTTCAGCACGATCTTCGACATCTACCATGGCCCTTTGCTGATGAAGAGTTTGATCTGATCATGGTCAAGGACACGTGCCTGATGGTTCCGAGTCATGTTTACCAACGTTTCGTGGAGGAGTATCTTCGCATGCTCAAGCCTGGAGGAGTGATGGAGATATGGGATAGTGATCCAACTTTCCGCATGCTGCGACCTCATGTACCAAGCGCAATGCCCGGATCAGAAGAAGCAGAAGAGCATGAGGCAGCCCTTGATCTAGGCGCCTACCTCATGACTTCCAAAACACCCCTTTCCGCGCCATTGAACTCTTTTTTGGTTGAGTACAATACTTGGCTGTCAAGGACTCTGGAAGGACGACAGCTTTCACCTGTGCCATGTTCTCTCATTGGGGCCTTCCTCCACGCTGAAGCAGAGGTGCTCATGGACATCAAGACAAAGCGTCTAGCCATCCCCTTGAGCGAAGTCCGATGGGAGCGCGAAGGCGTCGGCGGTGTTGTCACTAAGGATGGCAAGTCGTACGTGGAGATGAAGGCCAAGTCAACACCGCACCAGAAGGTCGAGAAGAAGACCTTGACACCGGGACAATCTGCGCTTCGCAAGACGGCGCTCTTGACAGTTGCACAACAAGTGTCGGCACTGGAACCTATCATCAGAGAAGCGAGCGGCAAGAGCCAGGATGAGTGGGATGCGTGGGTAGCTAAGATGATGGCGGATCTGATGAGCGAGAGCGGGACAAGCTGGGGAGAATGTTTGGAGCTGGGAGTGTGGTCGTCGAGAAAGAGACCACGCAAGGAATAAGCTCTGGGGGTCACTGTGGTAATTCTACCGCAATCTTCCCACGTGGATTGTGACGAATGGCTCAACATCTATGTCTCATGATAGATGCAAGACTGGAATGCTTCCCTGACACAATAACTACACACACCCTGGACCTCAACGTCCCAAATAACCTCGATCAGCATCTTCTACATGCCCAACATACCCTCCTTTCCCCTTTACGCGTTGGCGTCATATCGTTTTCTCAATGTGCGATACCTTTTCAAGTAGTACCTATACCCATATGATTAGTAAAAAAGCAGGTTGACGGATAATGGTTGGGATATCAGGATAATGTAGCTTTTGGGATAAATGAACTTATTGGCATGGACTGGAGTGTTGGTGACTCGTGAATTGTGATGTGACGGATGCCTTGCGTCGATATGCGATGTTTAACAATAGACGGTGGTACTCATGGCATACAACATTAACAATTAATCATACTCGAATATGATTTGCAAGTTGTCTCACGATGTGGCCGATGCATGGCAATGAACAAGAACTTACAAAGCTTCGATTTCTATTGTATAGGTTAGCCAATGCCATCAATCCACTCGATTCAGAAACATACCCTTCTTAACATATTCAGCTTGGGCAATTCCCTGGCGGATCTTATCCTCATCACGCTCTCCAGCTTTCGAGATGAAGGCCTTATGAAGACGAGGTCGGAAATAGTCAAAGCCGAGGGGATACTCTCTTCCCATATACAGAAGCTCTATTACATCACGGTCAGCATATGCCTCACATGACAGCTTCAAGACCTGGACAGACCTTTATAGATGGCGATGACCTGCCGTCTCAATTGCGGATTTAAGCTCATATCAACTGTGTTTGTGTATGGATCACGGTCTCATACAGCCGCGGAATACCGATGCGGATGATGTATGATGCTGCCGCGGCCATGCCCAGACTGTGGCGTAGATCCCCCACTTCAGCCTCGTTGTTTCAGCCACGAAACCTAACATTCAGCTTCTACATTGCACCATCGTCAACTGTTTTTGAAGATTCCGATCCACGCCCTCGCGATCCCTCGAGTCGAGACTCCTTGCTCACAGCCCAGATCTGGCTCGGAAGCTAACCGTCATGTCAGCAAGAGGCCACAATGCTCTGAGGGGCTCCCGAGCACTCTTCAGACCTCTGAGCTATGCGCGTCACAGGGACATGATCAAAGAAGAGCCGGGGCAGACGCAGAAGCCAAAGGAAAAGCGAACAACAAGGCCCTGGCCAACTGGTGTACTGGTACCAGGAGCCAAAGCAGCACGTCTGATTCCTGCAGACCAAAGTGCCAAGTGTACCACTATAAGAATCCCGAATACCTCCACAGCGTTTTCACAATGGCCGACGCTCAACAACTTCAAACCAGCGCTACAACCACGAGCCAATGGAACTATACCTCCTGGCGCAAGCAGTGGCGTTCAGGCAACAGTCGACACCGACATGGAGATGGCGATTCTTCCTTACTTGTACAACGATCTTGGTGTGCTGATCTTTGAAGGCCCCAAGTGGGAGCAGGTTAGAATTATGTCAAATATCCTTCAGAGCGTCGAGTGTGAAGAGTGTAGACTGCCGAAAAGAGATTGGACTACAGACAACACATTATTCGAGGTGAATTATGACAAGTGGAACGTATATCGTCTAAAGTTAGATCCATACAAACACATCAAGACCACTTTTCAGGGCCGCGTATGTAAATGTTTCGAAGTGGTAAAACACACAACGCTAATGCCACGCAGAGAAAGAAACGTAGCATAACACCCAATGGACTGTATAATCTTACCAATACTGCGCTTAAAAAATGGAAAGCGGATGGGATAGGAGGACCTGTGCCTGTTGGAACTGTGCCTGGTTCTGTCAAGATGTACATTGTGAAGCACGTTGACGGGCCAGGACTGGCGAATGTAAGTCTCTCCTCGTAGCTCACCTGATCTCAGGCTGATACTTTCGTCATAGGATACCATCAATGGATCGTATCTACCACAACTGCATGTCTACGTTGCGACCGGGATTCGGGGCAACACAATCTACATGAGTATCGAGTTTCACACCGTTGGCACAAGGCGCTTGGTCGGCGTCACAAATCTCAAACTCAGACCGACCTTCGAGTCCTCATCCACCAAAGACACGACCGAGAAACCCCCTCAAGGGGTTGATAGAAATACCGATTTCGGCCAAGAATTCGCCTCTGTCGAGGAGAAGACGGGGGCCGGTGGGAAAGCAGATACTTGTTCCCTGAAGCAAGCATCTCAGCCTCCACCAACCTATTCCAGAAGCATGGAAGCTCCGTGGGAGCTTTACGAAAAGCTGGTACCAAGTAATGCACGCCGCAACAGCGAGTTATATAGACGAGCGATGTTCAAGGTATACAAGCTGGAGTTCAAACTCTGGGCGCAGAGGAGGAGGGCTCTCAAGAAGCAAAGAAAGGAAGAGCGAAGGACTAGAAGCTTTACCAAGATGCACAAGAACAGGTTGGCGGCCGTAGCTCAAATAGAAGAAAAGTATTTAGATGCTGATGGAGAAGCTTAACACGGATGGGATATTGGAGGAGATTCGTCGAGGAGGGGAGGGAGTTACGTGGGACGAGCGTTAAGGGTGAGCATTAGGGGGGTTTACGTGTTGACATGAATGAAGATCATGGCGAGGATCCGGTGCATGGAGGATATCACATCATGAACGCATACTCTGGGGAATATTCTTTGCGCCGACGAATCAATATTTCCGCGATATCTACAGGATCTTGACGGAAGGACTCGCAACTGATCAATGATCTCAACTTCCACAAGTACCATGTCGTATTCTTAGTTAGAATAACCTTTTGTTTAGAGACGTAAGATAGATAAAGCCCCATTACATCGCAAGGTCGAAAGCAACGTTAACTGAAAATGACAACGAGTGAAGCCTTGCCGGGACCTAGCCGGGTATCAACTGCAAAGCCTGAGATAGCTTTGCTCACACGGGCAAGCCTCCAGGAGCAAGAAAGCTTCTAAAGTTGTATTAGGCTACCACAATAAACTGGTCTAAAATCCCAATGAGATATTCTGAGTTTACCTAGGTCTTTTGGTCACTTAGACAACTAAGTTTTCTTGCCTCCCCTTGCAAGTCGCGGACAGCAGCAAGTATCGAAGCATCAACTGATGGCCTCATTGTATGCAAATTGTGACTGGAAAGACAATTTCTTTGCCAGAGGCTGCTGCATGGCTCATGCTAAGTGTGTCTCGTCTTGATTGGCATGGTGAATGCCAGACGAGACGAATAAAAAGGGGTTGAGCACACCCGGCAACATCGGAAAGCTTCTGAGACTGACAAGCCCGAAGTCATAATATCAGTCAACCAAACCAGAGCAGGCAAGTTGTCACAAGCCACACCAACAGGTATCAAACTTGTACCTGATAGACACGAGACGTGCAAACAGATCGGGTTGCCTATTTAGGCAGTAATCTCAAGTCATACCATCCCCAAGCAGGACTGTCCCTCGTTATCGCTCTCCGAGGCCATTTGTGGTGGTTTTCGCGACAATCATCACCCCCCGGAAAGAAAACAACGCATCGGAAGCACAACCGGAAAGCGTGATATCGGAAGATATCACAGCACATCATGCCCTGCAACATTACAGCACCAGCGATTCTCTCCGTCCAGACAGGGCTGGCTTCGAGTGGCGCCCGTCATGCAGCAGCACGGGGCATCCCGCATGAAAAAAGAGTCGAAGCTCCAAAGCTTCCCCCGCCTAGAACAGGGTCCAGAGTATCATAGCTCGTGAGTTAGTTTTTAAGTATTCAGCTTCAGATGCAACACAGTATAAGCCAGAGTCCAGACTGCTAGAGAAGTCGTGAACTCGAGATCAGACCACTGTGACGACTCAGAGTGAAATTGGCACTCAGACCACCTACAAAGATTCCTTATCCGTAGAGGCCGGTTCTTTATCCGCTCACCGTCATTTGACACCACCCCATGGTCTAGCACACGAAACAGAGTGTACAGAAAGCTGATATGCAGCAGGGCTGCAGGAGTAATTTGATAGGGCGAGCCGAAAACAAGTGCGAGAAGTGCCGACGGGGGCGGCACCCAAACAGATCCCCCTCATTGATAGGGATCAAAGCCAAGACCTGAAGGTGGTGCTTCGATTTGCTGCTAGCGGGGTAGTGATCATCACTTGCGTCGTGGAGACTCTTCAGGAGTTGTTGTTGTGAAGAGTTTGGATGGTTTGTGTGGTTGAGGTAGCAGTGAGTTGCTTTGATCCCCCATCTGTTCTCCTCACCTTGCAAAATTGTCCCACGAACAAACATGAGGATCCCAGGAAAGAAACGCTTCCAAGGCTTTTATCACGCAATTCACGGCTTATGGCTGGATGGTGTTTAGTAACGGACTCGCATAAGCATGCGTGAGCACGGCCGTTTGAGTCGTGGCAGTCGATCACTGTGCGATGATCTATTCGTGAACGCAAAACCTATGAGAGGGACGATCGGCGCTCTTAGTCGTCAACTGACGAAAGAACAAGGAGGGGTTTTTTTGTTGCTGTTTTTATGCGACAGCTTCATTTTTGTGTGTGCCTGTGCGGAGCTTATCAAAGTCTCTGAGCCTGCAGCGTCTTACAGGGAATAGCTTGCAAAATTGAGCAGCCTTGACGATGTAACCGTGAGCTTGGAAGTTGAAATTTGGTGCACTCCATCGGTGATTGTCCACATCGAGACGAGGAGAGGCTCTTTGTTGTTGATGGATGGTTGCAAGGACAAAAAGCGGGAACATGAAATTAGAGCAAAAACGGGCCAAGAAAAAGTGCCGAGAGTGAAAAAATGGACTGAGTCTAATGACTCAAGTACCGTCCCGGGGAATCGATCAGCCACGGTGAGTCGGGAATTAATTTGTTGTTTTAGGCGCTGGATTCCAGATAAAGTTCCTGGGCCATGTTGCATGATTTGCAGCTGGTGGAATGTGCTGTCTCATCGTTGTGAGGTTAAATGGTGATGTTGACTCTTGGGAGGAGTAAACAAAAAACTTCATCTCAAAAAGACTGGTTGTTTCATCACGACTCAAGACCAAATATTTCAGCTTCCTTGTCCTTGTCCGTGTCCGTGCAGTTGATGGCCCTAGGAGCAATCCATGTCATCCTAACTTCTGTCCCCCTTGAGCCAGCTCAGGGCCTTTCCCACAACAGGCAGGCCATGGCGCTCACGACGTCAGAAGCAGTAAATTCTCTTTTTTTCCCCCAAGGCCACTGTACCCGAAGGCCATTCGGCCGTCGCTCCCTAGACACACCTTGATCCGGCCGAGGTGAGATGGGGGGCGATGATCCCAAAGCTTAACATCTGGGGCATGATTCGCTCATCTCGTTTCTGGCATGTGCCTACGCATCGGAGCCTACCGAGCATTCACCGTCTTGCGCAATTGCTGATGATGGAGACTCTTGATGAGGCTGGAATTGTCAAGTGTTTTCTCGCATTGCGGAGAAGCCCTAGAATCGGCAGAGCCGGGGTGTGCCCTGGCCAATGCCTGGTAGAGCGTGTAAGCGATGGCGTGCCCACGCGAATGTTACATTGTTGATGTTATATCGAGATTGTGAGTGAAGAAATCGGGCACATGGGACGGACCTAACTCAGGCGTGACGAGAAACAGGCTATATAACGCAGTGTTAAGACATAAGACACTGTGATAGAAACAAGATGAGACCCTGCAAAGAAACGTCAACGCAGCAACACAGCCAGGCATTGTGTTGTCAATCAATTCGTTCTGAAGAATGGTCTTGTGACGAATGTGGACAAAGACTTTGGTCCCTGCCAATTATTTCCCGTCCTTCATCTGCTATGCTAAAAACAGGGTTCACACAGTGGGAGGCACGGCGTGTTTCATGGTGGAGCATGTGACTCCCCAATGGATCAGTTGTTTTTACTTGAGAAAAACCACTTTCAGAACGAAGAGGGGCGTTATTTGCAGAATGCGCTGAAGCTAATATCTCGATTCTCTCTATCATGATCTGTTGTTCTCAAAGTTTGAAGGCATCGTGACGAAAAGCGGCAGTAGACATTGACATTCATCCTCGGCTGCTGATCGTCATCGTCTGTGGGCAAGACTCAGCCATTGAGCGCAGTCTAGCGCCTCAAAATTGGCCATCTCAACCTTGTTCCTGAGTACCTGATCCGCTGGCATTCAACAAGCCAAAATCGACCAGAAACGGACCTCGACTATGGGTGATCGATCCACTTGCAAGAACACAGATGATCGTACATAGCGTTGGCGATTCAAGCCTTGAGATTTATCGTAGATTTTATGGTCAACGGCTTCATTTATGTTCAGCAAAAACCCTGCATCCCCAACTCAAAGCTTCAGCTTGACGCGCCTTTAGCGCGCACTCCACTAGGTAGGTACATAGAATAAGCTGCCCCCAACTGCTGCCCCAATTCCGCACTCCAACGGGGGATCCATCTCTCGTGCAGCTCGCAAACCATCCATTGGCAGTCAGAGGTTGGAGACCTGCTGAGATCATGCGAGCCACTAGGACTACAGTGGACTCTTAGCATCCAACAGCGTCAGAAACAGCCGCGTTGGCTTGTTGATGGCACAGTGCGAGCCCCCCTCTCCTCGCTATTCTCGTTCCCATCTATCCATCGTCTTTGCATTCTGCCACTCCATTCCTTATTCTCTATTCTTTTCTGTTTCCTTTTCAATCCAATCCAAGCCTGGGCTTTGACAGCCAAAAAAAACTCCCACCTCCACCACCTGACTTCAACCAACAGTCAACCCTACCTTGCCTTGCCTTGCCTTGTCCTTTTTTCCTTACCTACCTCATCTTACCAACTATCTATCCACTTGACAACATCCCACTGTAAATCATCTCGTAACCGATCAAAACTACCTCCTTGCAACGCTCATTACTTGCTTTCTGCGGCCCTCCGGCCGATCTTGGCAGGTTTTGCTTTGTTGCATTTTGACGATAGTTCCCCTCTTGTCGTCGCCCTTATCAGTTTTATCATAGCCTTTTGTCGCCCGTGTTTTCTTTCCCCGACCGTTTTCAATTCGAATGCACATGTCGACCACGAACCTTCTTGTCGCAACGGCTCGCCTCCCAACTCTACTACATATTATTCCGAGACCCGATACTTTACCCGTCCCCTCGTGTTAAAATCGACCGAGACGCCATAACGCTCGAGTCGTCAACTCTCTGTACCAAGCCCTTGTCCCTGAAAGGCTTGTCCCGGCTGCCGGCCCTGTTCCCAAGTGGTTCTCGGGTTCGTCAGACTGTGGCAGCGAGACACGTCGTTGCGCATGCCTCGCGCTCCAGGTTCGAGTAAGCGACAGCAAGGCGCCACCAGTCATCGCGATAATCGCCATGAGAATGGGCTTGTAGGTTCTGCCAAGCGTTCCTCTGACAAGAAGGGCTCGGGCCTGCTCGACAACCCTCTTCGCCGAGCTGACCAAGGTACTGCTGGTGCTGCTGGACAGTCGACGCCCGTCAATGGTCACGCCAACAGCCCGTACAAGCAGTGTGTCTATGATGCCTCCAATGACTCCCGTACCGACGACCTCCGCCGCTCCTCTCTTGACGCCGTCTCCGAGATGTCGTCCGACTCGTCCAACGCCAACGGCCTCAGTGGTGTCGAAGCTGGCCACCGCCAGATCGATGTCAATGCCATGAAGAACGCTGATGTCCATCGCGACTCAGGCCCGTTCGACCTCGCAACCACGGTTCTCAAGTCTCTCCCTATGCAGGACACACTCGCTATTCTCATCATCCTTATGCACGTCCCTTCGCTCTCGCTTACCGTTATATACACCATCTTTACGTTCCTTACCTTTGTTCCTCCCGTCGCCACCAGTTCGGGAATGAGCATCAACCTCGCCGAGATTTTCGACGGCAATTCGACCATGCCCTCTCTCGTAACTGTCTTGTGTGTTGACTTCTTCTTCCTTCTGATATGGCTCTTTCTGTGGGGTCCAATCCAGGATGCTATCCTAGATTTTGCCAAGCCAGTTATTGCCATTACTTTGGGAGGGGGGACGAGTGCGAGGGATGGAACATCGAGAGGCCTAACCACATGTTTTATGTGGGTGATAGGTCATCACCTACTCAGGGGAACCAAAGCTCATTGGGGACGTGTGGCTCGACACATACCAGAGCACTGGCGGTTGCCCCAAGTTTTCAATAACCCTGTCGATTCTGCTTCTAGCGCATACGATAAGATGTCTGCCTACGGATGGATTCGAAGTGTTCTCGCCATTCATATTTTAACCCAAGGAATTGTGCGATATATCCGAGAATGGTATCTCAGACGCGAAAAAGCAAATGCTTCTGTTGGTGCCAGCGATCCTGAGGTCGGAAAGCCACCAAGTGTGATCAGCGATACGGCTAACGAAGGAGGCTTCGCAACGCCTGATACTGAAGCAGGCTTGAATTCGACATCTACAGTACCTACAAGCAAAAAAAGAAGAAAGCAAAGCACTCAAGTTCGCTTACAGCAACCACTATGGGCGGCATTGGCGAGCACCAAGATTGTTGTGGTGAAGGAGTACGAGTTATCCCATGCGGCTTCTGAGTCTGCTGGAACTAATGCTACCGACATTCACAATCTTGGTAATGCTCCGTTCAACAACCAACCCAACCAAATTTGGATATCCTACATTGGTAGCGATGAAGTTTGTTTTAACACTAGCCATTTCCCCGGAATCGACGACAAGCCCCGTTTAGCTGAATCTTCAGGCGAAGATTCGAGACCAGCTAATATCGACACCCCGAAGCCATTTTACGTCAGAGTTAACAACGCTGTTTGGCAGCCCACCCGCATGTATCCGATCGAGGAGTCCCCAGGAGAAGCTCACGAAGGAGTTCGATGGACTGGTGATATCTACGGCCTCAGACCTGCCTCCAAGTATGTCTGTGAGTTTGTGGATAGTCAAACTGATGAGGTTCTGTTTTCAACCAGCATCAGAACTGTTCAGGCCACTCAGCGAGAGACGGACGGTGTTCCGCCTCCCGTTGCTAATGGGCAGCGCTCCCTCCACCCGGATTCACCTTCTTTGACTCTCAGGACATCGATAGCAGCAGTCGAAGCGAAGCTTAGCGAGGAGAGATCCCGCCTCAAGACTCTACGAAAGGAGTACAAGAACCGCGCCAATGCCCTCAAAAAGGACAACGAATTAACGGATAATCAACTCTCTTCAGCTGGAAACCATGACGAAAAGTACCGACAAAAGATTCGTCAGCAAGAGACCCAGAAAGCCCAGGCAGAGCGTGATACTCAGCAACTGGCTGATCAGCTCAAGAACTTCGACACTGCACCTGAACTCGGCGAACGCAAAAAGAAGGTCGAGAAGCAGTATAGTAGCGAGAAGAAGGTTTTTGAGGCAGCTCAGAAGGCTTTCAAGGAGTACAAGTCCGGACTGGAGAAGGAGATCAAGGCCAAGGAAGTCGAGAAGTCGAACCTCAACACCCGCCGCAACAAGGTGGCGACTCGAATTGCCAAGGTTGAGAATGAGCTTGCCAATATCACTGACGCCAACAATCGCGGTCTTGATGAGGCAGAACGACGAAACCAAGAGCGTTCCATTTGGCAGGGTCACGTCGCTGGTATCGAAGCCAACTACAACGAGCGACTGGCCCATGTTCGTGCGAGCAATGCCAACAAGAGTGAGGAGATTCGGCATCTGCAAATGCAGCTGCAGAGTTTCCACGAGTACATCAACTCGAATGGCATGTCTTACGATATGATGCCTCCTCTTGACGCAGGACACTCCCACCTTGGCCCGCCTTTCCAGCCTACGACTTCGAGCACTTGGAACCCGGATCCTACGGCTCCTCCTCACTACCCAACTGGTCTCTGGTCCGCCTCTGACAACGTCCTCCCTTCGGCATCGGCTCCCACTCTCCCGTCCATGTCTCCTTGGCAACCTCCCCCCACTGCACCTCCCTTCGAACCCCGTATGACTCGCTCTCGTGGACGTAGTTCTAGCATGCTCAGCAACGTCAGCGGTTTCACGCAGTCGAGCGGCGAGGAGTACGCGTCGCCGCCCATGGACTCTCGCCGGGTTAAGCACATCTGGGCAAGTCGCACCAGGGCCAGCGGTGGCGGTAGCAGCGGCAGCGGCAGCAATGGTGATCCGACTAGCCCTAGGTGAGCGAGCGATCGAGTTTGGCTGAGCGATGTATGGCTGTGATGCAAGGACAGCGGTTGTTTGGTTCGATTTCGACAGGCTAGGCTGTTGGATAGCGCTTGCAGCGAATAAAAGTAGTGCCATTGTTAAATGTTTGTCTATTGAATGGTGATGTCTTCATGTCTTGTGCCCTTGGCTATGCCCTTATCTCATCCCCAAGCGGGGATCCTCAGTGCAAGTGCGGCGAGAATGAGTCTGCTTTTCCCCAAGGATCTGCTCGTATCATCTGCTCTATTGTGGTTCCCTTTTTGGCCTCTTCATGTTCATCAGCTCTTTTCACACATCCTCTACCATCGTCACATCAAACACTATGCGGATTCTTTTGTATATGAAGAATGGGGACGCGTCACTTCACACATTCGAACAACTCGTTCTCAAGGAGGCAAAACTTGGGGTCTACATCCCAAGCGATGCAAAGTTCTCGGTCAGTTTAGTACAATTTGGTAGTCCTTCAGACTGTTTGCTCTGGCGCCTTGGTTGAAGGTTGGGAGTTTCCTTGTTCCCCAATGCCCTTCGAGCAGTTTGCTACGAATGCTTGTCCATCTTCTCATCCCACCCGGTACTCCATCGCCTGGCTTCGGTGCAGAAAGGTTGTCGGGTGCAAGTCTTTTCAAGGACAAACTACTTCAATCACGTCACATCATGTTGTTCAAGCATTCAAGTGTTTGTTCGAAGTCGCAGTGCGCTTATGTTCATTCAGTTACTCGCTAACTTTATGTGGTACATTTAGACTTCTAACTCGCCGAGCTTCCGCTCTGCCTCTTTACAGTGAACGGTGGACTGAAGCTTGGCAAATCGACCCATCAGATCGGCCACAGTAGAGGTGAGCTTCTCAACTTGCTCCTTGAGCATGGCATTCTCCGAGGCCAGTGCCGCATTCGTCTCGCGCATTCCTTCCTATTTCATTTGCAAGGCGCGAATCTGCCGGGCTATGGTATCAGTATCTATTCTCTTCTAAGGCAGTTGTAAGAAAGACTTACTTGACCCTTGTTCTGATGAAGGCTGCGGGCCACTTTGACGCGAGCGGTGAAAGACAATTCATTAGAATTATCAGAAATCTTTTCTGGCTTTTGATTGCAGTTGAGGCAGTGGTCATCAAGTTGGTCCTCGAATCTGTCCAAGGTGCTCTCAAAAGTGTACTGGGCGTTCCCGATATAGGCGATCATCGCGTTGTTCTCGTCGATATCTTCGCGTTGCTGGTCGAGGCGCATGTTGATTTTTGAGAGCTCTCGTGCGGTATTGCTTTCGGCAATAGTTGTTCCCTGTTCACCACATCCGTCAGCCAAGGGTTCCTGAGCTGAGTATGTCTGCACCTTGATATGCACTTTGAGAACTCTTGTGCCGCGACCACTGAACCCTGCTTTCCAGTCCCAGAGCAACCCAATTGACCATCTGGACAGTCCCACGAGATATGCCGGAGCGATACCAAAGCCCAAGACGCAACTTAAAGGCAGTGTGGCTGTACTACCGAGGTATACTGGTACAAGGCCGCGATCCCCAAAGTCACAAGTGTGTCCAGGCTGAGCCCGGAGATACCAACCTAATGTTGCGACAGGAACAACGAGCGTACGGCACCCCGATTTCCTTTCCCGAGCCGAACGTGGTATCTTGGTGCTTGACTTTGGAGATCTGGAAGCGACCCCAGCTGCAGTCCAAGCTAGGCTTGGAGATACTCAAATGAGCACCTGAATCCACAGCTCGGGACCCGACATCCAAGGCCGCAGCGTCTGAAGACAGGCACGGGGACCTGGGCGGTATGTCGGGGAACTTTGATGCTTCTGGCTCGCATGCGGGGAAGAAGGGGCAACAAGAGAAGTGCAGTCAAGGTTGGATGAGAAAAGAAAGCAGACATACCTGAGTGGGATCAAACTCTGTGTTGATCATCTCTACATCGGCCTGTGTTGAGTTAGTGAGATCATAATAGGTGAGTAGGCTCTTAATTAAAGACCTACCGAAGCATGTTCTTGGGTCACGCCATCCTGCGCGTCCTTTTGCCGACGATCATCTGGCCCGAAGCCTCGGTTAACCATCTTGGCGAAAGGCAGTAATGAACTGCGCAGCGTGGTGAAGTGTATGAAGATCAAGTTGGGTCAAGATGTAGGACCTGCTCACTGATGAGGGTGAGAGGATGATGATGGAGGAAGAAGAGAAGGGAGGGAGGGAGGGGAGAGAAGAGCGAATTTATAGGCCGCGGAGGAAGGGATTGATTACGAGAAGCTCACAGTGATTCACAGTGACCGCAGTCTATTGTTCTCTATTGCGCGTTCAAACGGCAGTGTTGATTGGGTGATTGATTGGTCGTAAGAAAGGTGAAGGCCGGCTGTCAATGACGGCTGGCAGCCACTGGCAGTGCACTGGCAACTTTTCTCGACACCTCGCTCTAACCAGCATGGTTGAATTTTCTCTTGATCTCAGTTGCCTTCGGTTAACTTTTCCTCTGATCCGTCTATTTATGCCTTGAGGCCATTACTAGACCTGCAAGTGTTCATCCAGACTCATACTTCATCGCCACGCCAACATGGCTCGCAATCGACCCAGCGCAAGAACCCGGCGCTCGCGGAGGAGAAGAAGAGAAAAACTTCAGAAGGCGTCTGCAAATGAAGGAAATGAACAAGCTGAAACCATTTCTCAAGCTGTCACTCCTGAGGCCGCTTCGCCTACCGCCCAAGCTACCGTCGATGCTCCAGCTTCTGGTGAGAAAGGCAAGCCATGTGTGACCAAGGTTCGGCGTTGTAGGCATCGTCATCTTCCTGTTTGTTCCAGCCTTTCTATTCTACCTAGGTATATTCACAGAACTTACACGCTGTTAGGATCGTCACTATTACCATCGTGAGGACAAATATGACCGTCGATTTTATGCCCTTGATCGGCGTGTCAATGAACGAGTTGATGATAATGTCGCAAAGGGGCGCGCTGCCATAAACGAAGATTATCAGCGCCACAGTGACAATCTGCGTCGTGCCGAGGGAAAGTTGGCAAAGAAAGTAGAGCAGATTCAGCACGCGTACGAGAGAGATGTTCGGGAAAAGGACAGAAAGTTCGCTGGTCTCAAGCGGAAAGTCGATCAGATACAGGCAGAAAATGAGGACCTTCGGGAAGAGATCGCAAATGAACGTCGCCGCACTCAACGCATGATGCTTGAGCTATACGAGTCTTCAGATTCCCAAGACACTGATCATTCAGACTAAAGATGCATGGAGTAACGTTCCTGTTCTTACGAAGATGATGGAAGAGGTTTTGGGGGGGGTGCTTGTTCGGAATGAGTGATGGCGCAAGCCGCCTTGCATGAGGAAGCAGAGCTGGGCAGTTCACAATGTACCGTAGTCAACACAAGTCTAGAGATGAATGAGATGTCTCTGATACTTGTCATTGACTTTACCTCCTAACAGTCTTTCCATGTGATGTAATCGTCTTCCTTGGTTATGCTAAATGTCGTGAGCTTCGACCTCCCCATTTTCCCCGTCCGGCTAGCAGTTCAAAGAAGAGCTTGAAGTCAGTAATAATTGAAAGGCTGTTGGTCTCCGCTCTGTCAGGTCTTGTATAAATCAAGCTGATATTACAGTTTTCGAATCAGAGTTGTATTGCGATTTACTTGTCGCTCGATCGAACAATGTTGTGCTTGCCAACACAGCGACATTCACTCAAAGACTTGTTCGACAGAAAAGAGCCAGACTATCGATACATCAGGTAAAATGTGAACAAAATTATCTACTCGTGAACCTATGTTAAGATGAATTATATGTAGAGTAAAGCAGATGAGTCTTTTCAAAATAGGGGGGGGGGGTTCACAACTACCCTGAACCAGCAGCCACACTCACCTTAGCCACGACTAGCGCCACATGTCCACTCGGATGTCCCTGGCCCAGGAGACAACAGCTCTCAACACTTCAACTTACAAGGACCTGTGCGGTGCCGTTATGTGGTCAAGGTGACTTTATTCCCTAGTTATAGTCGCCGGGAGATGACTCCAATATCGTCATGGATTTCGTGAGTATCTCGCCACCATCGGCCACTGCAACCATGACACCCAACTAATTGCTCTCTGTGCAGTGGTCGCGCTTATTGAGCCCTCTCTCGTCTGGGGGCACCCGCAAGGACCTGGGACATGATCCTGCGAAACGACTTCACCGGTTCGAAAAGCAATATAGCCTCTTACTCGTGAGGACCAGCGAAATCAGCCCATGCCTGCGACAAGCACTAACCAGAGTAGTCTGCTTGGAGAGCATCATCCAACCTGTCTCGAGACAGCGACGCCGCCGAGACCCTCGAGATCCGCCTCCAGGAACTCACCAACATCCTAAGCGACGAGAGCCGAAGACCGTTACCGCATCCATGTATTCAATACTGCTCGCTCAAGCAAATCTACGTGCCTATTGGAAAGATCGCTACGACTTCGTACAATGAGTGGATCATTAAGGAGGCCGTCCTCTTCTTTGCGACCCTTATCGAGAGCGAGGAGGAAGCGTTTGTCGAGAACCAGACCTTTTCCGCCAGTCTGACAAATCTCCTTGTACGAATCACCGGCATCAACAGCGTGCGCCTGGGCCTGGATACCGAGTCGCGTGTCGTCGAGCTAGCATTTAACATCACAACCAAGATTCGGCTGGACCCGAGTATTTTACCAGCATGGTTCAAGACACACCGCGGCGTGGCGCTTCAGAACAGGGAGAAGGATGAGAACGCTCGCGATGCGTTCGTTGGACGGACACAAAAGGCCGACTTCCCCCTGTTTTATATTCTCATGGACTATATTCACCATGAGGGTAAGGTGGGCGACTTTGCGCGAACAGGACTGCTGTACATCATCGAAGCTGCGTCGAGTTCAGGACCGCTGGAACAATGGATTGTTGAGAGTGACCTATCAACTTTGATGGCGACAGGTCTTGGCGCTTTGTACAGCCAGCTCAGCCGCAAACTGGTCGTTGACCATCTTCCTCACAACCTACCCCCTATCCTCGCCTTCTCCGATTACGAGCATCCAACATCTAACTACGAAGTCATCAGCTCGTGCTCGCCCGAGTTCCAATCTCACCTTGAAACTTTCTTATCACACCTGTTATTCTGGCAAGACGTCTTGAACCACTGTCGGTCTGTAGAGGTCAAGTCGACTCTGCTGGAGCATTTCCAAGTTATTTTCCTTCAACAGTTATTGTAAGTCCCCAGCGGCTCTCGTCCCTACCTACGCTAACAGGTTAGATACCCCTCACTGCTTGAGTCCTCTGATATCGACGGAGGCTCGTCTGTGGCTGTTTTGACTTATCTTCGCCGTATCCTGGAATCACTCGACCACCCTGACATGATCAACCTCATCCTTCACTACCTCCTCGCACTCCCTGATAACATCGCCTCTGCCCGTCCTGGCTCAAGCTCGTCTGCCAGCAAGGCTCGCAAGAGAAAGTCGATGGACCTGGCCACGATGCTGGCAGAGAGGGCAGAACCCGCTGCTACGCCTTTACTCTTCAACCTGGTTGATCTCGTTCTCGCGTGCTTGAGATCGCGGAATCAACAAACAATTCATGTTACCTTGCAACTGGTGTCAGCTATCCTTAAGAGACACCACCGATACGCTATCGTCACTCTTCTAAGAACTGACAATGTTTCTATTCAGAATGCCACTAGAACAGTAGGCGCTCAAGAGCAAGAGGTCGAATTCATCATGTCATTGGCGGGAACGATAGGAGGTGAAGATGATTTTGATGAGGTCTATCAGCTTGTCCTTCGAGATACCATGTCAAGGCTTGAAGCACATCCCTGCTCTCTCAAGCTCGTCGCTCCTAGGGCATCTACGAGTAACCAGAGGCTGCCCGACAGTCTTCCCGGAGCACCTAAAGAGGTTGCAGATCACACTCTGCGACCTGATGACCCTCTTCTCAACTCGCTACTGGATCTCCTGGAGACATTCTTCGTCAATCAAGTCGAGACGAATTTGTCCGTGACTGAGACACTTGTTGACTTGGCTGTCTGCGGTTTTATGAAGATCGAAGGATGGTTGACACGAAGTCCAAGCTCTTATATATACGATGAGGCTGAGAAGTTGAGACGTAAGTCTACAGAGAACGAAGATGCGGAGAGTGAAGACGATGAAGATTTTGAGGATCTGCCGTCGCCAACCCCAGAACAGAAACAGCTACTAGCCATGGAACAATGCCGCCAACGGCCGCAATGGTCTCAGGCGTCTTTACCACGTGTTTTCAACGTTCTCAGAAAGCTGGAAGAGCAGGTGGCTGCCTACAGAAGGAGTATTCCCCGATTTGACGAGTTGGTGCAACAACGGCGTGACGCCTTTAGGACCGCGGATGCAATGTTACACCACGCGGGTCCTACACCCAGGCCGACCCCCATCAGCGAAGATCCTCCCGATCGACCAAGCTTTGAAGAGATGTCGCGCAACGCATCACCCTCCCGACCGTCGGCACTGGAAGGATTAGCGCATCGTCTCTTGTCCGAGTTGGGAACGCCGAGCCGTGCCAGCAGCCCGCGAGGACGCAAAGAGCTGGGTCGAAGCTCTGGAAGCGGCAACGCGACACCTGGAAAATCTGTGCTTAGTTCCAAGGAAGCGTCTCATAGTAGGGGACGAGGCACTCCTGGACGTAGCCACTCTCCACCAAGAACGCTCGAGACTATAGATTCGGCGCAGAAGGCCAGGGAAGAAGCGCTTGCTCGACAGATGGCGGAATTTGCGGCTATGGACCAGACTATCCTCTCTAAGAAGGTGGGATTACCAGATGTCAAAGTTGAGCCTATTCCTCTCAAATTTGACAAGAAGCCAATGCCTGAACCTGTAGAGAATGAAGCGACAGCGGAGGAGGAACATGCTGAGCAGGCTCCCTCTGAAGCTGATGAGGACCAGTTCGAGGATACTGTGACTAATCTTACTGAGCACTTACCTGTGGAGGCGAAGGATGAGGATGATGCGAAGACGGAAGATACGGAGACTGATCTTTCTGACGCTGAGACTGCGCCTGAAATTGCTGAACCGATGGAACCGGTCGAGTCAGAAGTTGAGGATACCACATCTGCTGATGCCGAAGAAGGCGAACCCGCAAAGGAAGTGGAAGTCAACGAACTCGAGGCCAAGGATTCGAAGGTCGATGAACCTGAACCTAGCGAGTCCGAGTTCCACGACCTCGAGACCAAGGAAGACGAACCGGAGGAACCCAAGATTGCAACACCTCAACGAGAGACCCGAAATATGGATACACCAGAGCCCGAAACTCCTCAACCCAGAGAAGCAAGGGAAAACACAACAACTGTTTCAGTGTCCCACGTCGTCACTAATGTTATTATCCTACAATCCTTCCTTTTTGAGCTGGCTGCCCTTATTCAAGTCAGAGCAGGTCTATTTGATGAGGTGCGGTTCGTATAGCGTGGGAATTTGGACGCGAGGTGCATTTGATCGAAAGAACTTTCTTACGAGTCATGAGAGATGGATGGCATGGGCTTTACTTATAGATGGGAGAGGGATTATTTTTATATTATAGATACCATGATCGCAGTTTTGTGTCTGGTCAAACGTGACATTTTGGGGGGTTGTGGATCGTAACTTCGTGTATTCATGTGAACCCAACGCCGGCTATATGTATATATCTATGCAATGTAATCATTAATTTCATGTCATCGTTTCATCCCATTCTATCCATCGTCTTATGACTCCGTCGACGGCCTTGATTCCTTCTCTCGTGGCCTCCACCTCGAACCACTCACGATGCTCTCTCCCGCAAGCATCGCATTTCTCGGCGTCTTTCTTGAGACCCATGCCTGCTAATTCGATATGAACTAAGCGCTCTACTCGGTGCACATGCTGCGTCATATGGGGAACCACACCAGATGATTCCTGCGATCCAGGGAGATAAGGGTAGTATCGCAGGATCTCAACTTCATGACCGCACTGGCGTTGCCATTGGTTCAAACGGCGCTGGACATTTGCTGCGCGACCGATTTTGAGAAGCATGGTGTTCTTTGATGTTGATGGGTCAGCGGCCGCAAAGCTTGAAACAGCGTTACTAGCGCTTCGAGATCGCGGTGTCCGATTCGGTGACGGTGGAGAGAGAAGTGAGCGCGCTGCGTCAACAGGAGCGGCTGACGATTGAGATGCAGGTGTGAGCCAGAACATGTATATGAAACCAGGCTCCTCCGAAGCGCCAAAGGGACGAGCTAGTTCGGACATAAGCGCCGAGGCGGTCTGGGTGTCTATAGTGTCAGGAATGAAGTCTTTGATCTGCGCTGTCTGCGAGCCAGTGGATTTGCGTGACCGTCGAGAGTTTTTGGCGGAAGAGTTGTTTTGCGATGCGGTGAGATATTGTTTTGAAGTGCGCTTTGGCGGTACCGAAGCTGATGTTTTCTGAACAGGACGAGGTTGAGGGCGCGAAGGCTGGGCCTCGTGGACATCTTGGAGAGGCACTGAGAAACAGCAACACATAAGAGACTGCTTCGGCTGCGGCTTCGGTCTCGGCGCGCTCTGCTTTCGCCCTTCAGTATCCCTTCTATACTTCTTCTTCTCCTGCAAATCCACCAACCCTAGCCTATCCGCCAGCGTATCCAAGCTCGTTCGTCCCTCCAGGATCGGTGTCGAAGTAGCTCTAGGTCCCGGACTCGAATGCGACGACATGTTCGCCTGGTCTCGATGCTGCCAGCAGTAGAGACTCTCATCACGAGGGTCGGGAGTAACAGGTCTTCCGCGCTTGTCAGTCTTGGGCGCCGCCTGTTGAACGGCGCGACGGCACGGGCGGCCATTGGAGGTCAATCCACGACATGTTCCGTTTACGGCTTTTGAGTCGGAGCGGTTGAGGTAGGACTCGGGGGTGTTTGCGACAAAGGGCATTGTATTGCGAAAAAGGCGGTGGGTAGGTAGGGATAGATAAAAGGGAATGACGAGAGGAACAAAGAAGGTCTGTTTGTTGGTTGTCTACTTATTTAAACGAGGGAGGAGGGAATTGGGCCGTGAAACAGGGAATGAAGGACCCTGATCAGGAGTTGGAAAATGAACTGGGGTTTCTTGTTTTTAGACATCTTGGCTTGGCCTCCATGGCTGAAGCGGTTGATATTAGACTATTAGTGGTTGGTGAGCGAGGCTGACATGACGGTGATGGAGAAGGGAGTGGAGTGGGTGAGGTTGATGTGGCTGTGCGTGGCTGTGTCGCAGGCGTTAATCGCTTGAATGAGGCAGCCTTTCGTGGCCAAGTACGACGATATGAAACATATTGTAGTGAGTCTCAGATGGCTATTCCGTTTGTTATCTTGGGAAAAGTGATTTGGTGTTGACGATGGTGGTGTGGTGTGGTGTTGTGTTGTGTTGGTAGTGTAACTGCTAAACTACCCATGCCAATCAATGCCTGTTCAAGTTGAGTGAAGCAACGCCCCTTATATCCGTCATTGAACCCATGGTTCAACAGACAAGCCATAATCTGCCAGTGGACGAATTGTGTCAGTCAATGAACTTCAAGGCTTTGAAAATCTCAGAGGGTTTGAACATACTCATGCGACGCTCGGTAGATATCTTGCTGCTGATATGGAGGGGTGTTGATGGAGACAGAAGCACTCGAACAAAATGACAAGCAGCGAATGTGCAAGAAGCGAAAATGAAGTTTCACCGTTCAAGAAAGGCATCCGGAGCGTGGTGAAAGCAAATACTCTATATAGTCTAACGCAAGAGATCGCAACGCCTTGTCGTGAACGCCTCCTTGATTTCATGCTTAAAACTGAATTGCCCGATGCTGGGCCGGTCCCTCATTCGCAGACATAACAACCTGATTGCCTGGTACCAACTCCAACCGAAAAAAATAACCCCAATAAAGACGACGCCAAAATGATGCTGACTGAAATAATCCGCCGTAATTCTTATTCCCGCCTGGGGCGCAACTCATCCACCTTGATGGCCCTGGACCTGCAGCCACAAGCCAAAGAGGTTCCTCACTACAGCGATGGTGAAGGCGATGATGAACAAGATGTCTCCTCAGGGGCTGCTTGGCTCATGAAATTGAACCCCACGATGCCTTCAGCAACGATCTTGTCTCCAGAAGCGAGACGTGAGTACACTGAAACACGTCTTCCAATGATCCCATCACCGCCAACCTCAAGCGATAATGGCCCTTGAAGGGGCAACTCGACGTACTCGCGAGACGTCGGAGATGTTTGGAGGGAAAACTGGCGGAAGAGTCCACATTCGCTCGCATTTCTTGTCAAATCACCACTAGAACTTCCGGGCGTTAAAGTTGGACTGTGAGGAAGTAGAAGGACGAGACTCACTGAATAACAACGTATAAGTCGGAGAAGCCCTTCATACTGCACTCTTCGCTTGGAGTGAGTCTTGCGTGTGTTGCTCTTGGACTCGAAGGGCTGCCAGGAGTGTGAAAAGCGAGATCGCCGCAAATGTTGGACGAGATGGAGTTGATGGGAGGATTGAGAGCGGCGAGAGCGCCGCCTCGAGGTCTGTTTGTGTATTCTGGGCCACACATGGTGATGTCGATGGCTTGGTGAGTGTAAATGCCCTGGCGGAACTTTGTGATGCAGAGATTAAATGTTCAAGATGAGGATATAGAATGAAGAGAAATAGTTCATAAAGAATAAACATAACTATTACAAGATACAGTCACTACTAGCTGATAGTCTGAAACTTGCCGTATCTCTCTCGAAGTCTCTCACCCAAGTCCAAGCCATAGACAAGAACCAATCACTGTGTCGCAAGACCTAGCGTCGTTCCCAATTGGGCAACCTTTATAGGCGACAAGGTTCTGGGGCGTTAGCGAGTATGAGCAAGTTTGCGCAATAATTAGTGTGACTCTCTTCTCCATCAACAACACAGCAAGACAAGCAAACACCTTGATGAACTCGACTTCCCGAAATACGTACCGACCAACTTAGTACCGTGGAAGCACGCAAGGATACCTAAGATATTATTAATTGCTAGCTCTGACGCAATCGCTGTCCATCATGTTCTTCTCTAGGATCCCGCTTCTACCCCTCTTCTTCTTTGTCTCATCCTCTTCCTCGTCGTCTGAACCTGATCTTGCTTCTGCTCATAATCAAGCTCATATTGATCTTCCCGATAATATTCAGTCGTTTTCTGCCATGTCTGTTGGTACTTACTCTCTTCCGGCGTTGCCGTACGCCTACGATGTGAGTTCCCCGCTGTGATATCTAGTATGAGAGTATGAGAAAGTTGACCATGACAAAAGGCCCTTGAGCCTAGTATCTCTGCTCAAATCATGGAGCTACATCATAGCAAGCATCACCAAGCTTACGTGACAAATCTCAACGCCGCGCTGAAGAACTACGCAACTGCTACTTCTACCAACGACATCGCCGGCCAGATCGCCCTGCAATCGGCCATCAAGTTCAACGGCGGCGGTCACATCAACCACTCTCTCTTCTGGGAGAACCTCAGCCCATCTAGCTCTGCTGACGCAAAGCCCGAGAGTGCTCCTACGCTGAGTGCTGAGATCTCAAAGACGTGGGGTAGCATTCAGGCGTTCCAGGAGGCGTTCAAGAAGACACTGCTGGGACTGCAGGGTAGTGGTTGGGGATGGCTTGTTAAGGATACGCACGGTCTTCGTATTGTCACGACGAAGGATCAGGATCCTGTTGTTGGAGGAGAGGTTCCTATTTTTGGTGTCGATATGTGGGAGCATGCCTACTACCTCCAGGTACGTTTTACTCCAAACAGTCCAAGAAAACGACTAATACTGTGATAGTATCTTAACGGCAAAGCTGCCTACGTTGACAACATCTGGAACGTCATCAACTGGAAGACAGCCGAGGCTCGATTCACCGGCTCCCGCGAGGATGCCTTCAAAGTCCTCCGCGCCTCCATCTAACCAACAACGATGATATCATAAAGGGCACAAAGCTATTGTGATCAACATACTCATCCCGTCAAACCAGCACAAGCAATAGAAAAAAAACACACTCAATCTCAAGCTTTTTCCTCTCAATATGCAGTGAAACCTCCAAACACCATGGCAACGTGCTCTACTCGTGACACTCAGTCTCGGGTGGCTACCCATGCGTCTGACTCGTGCAGCAGGACGCCGTGTATTGTCTATTCTGACCGCCAAAGCCCGTTTTCTTGAGCCCGTTGCGTTCTGTGCAATTTCACCAAAGGAATATGCAGGCTGCCGTATGCACGTATGTCTCTTCTGCGCCACACGTCTAAATGTGCACGCACACCAAACGAAAAGCGGTCTGAGGTAGCCTGTCGTGAAATCACTGTGCTACTATGGATGCGAGTTACAATGCCGCTGTATCTCGGTACAAGCTTTTCTTGTGTATTTCCGGATCTGTTTTGCTCAGCTGTAAATATGAAGCTTGTGTCGTGTCTGTGTTACAGCACTCATGCATGGGTGAGCTTCACGATCCCGCACGATCGGAAGTTGAGATCGATTTGCATCAAGAACTTTTGCAGAAAAATGGCAAAGTCTTGTATTATACGTTGTCGCTGGATGTGACAGTGAGACGTTATACTGACTCACCCGCTTCACTCTGCCAACTCACATAATCCCAAATTTATCCGCCACTTCCATTTGACCTCACGGGAACCAAAGACGGGCTGAAGCATGAGAAACCGTAACGACTCCCGTCGCCACGGTACGGCTCCTTGAGCAAACAAGCAAACAAAACCATCCAACACAACGGCATTGCCGGAACCCGAAGCCAGTTCAACCAACGGAACGGGAAGAATAATCTCCTAGACGGCTAGACGAAACATACAGCGCGGATAGACACATCTCCTTAATAATAGCATCGCGGTCTTTCCGGTGCCACGGCATGGATGCGGCATCAGGGGGTTGGGTAAAACTCGTGCGAGGCCTCAATGAGAGGTATAAAGAGTCGAGATGAAGCAAGACTTTGAGGAGAGAGAAACTCTTCAGAGTGAGACCACTGGAAATTATTTGGCGCCTCTTTGTCCTTCGTTTTTCTCTGTTTAACTCATTTGCCGCATCCTCTCAATACAGTCGCTTCTGGAATCTTCGCTTTTCCGAACATGTCTTTCCTCGCTCGCCTCACCCTCGTGGTGCTCTGGTAAGTTGTCTCTTGTTGTCTCTCGGCTGGGATAGATACTAACTAGTACAGGGCCTTGGCTGTGTGTGCACAGGAGACTGTGACTGTGACAGAGACATCTACAGTCACTGACACCGTCACCAGCTGTCCTTCAGCTGGCTTGAGATTCTATCCTCGTGCTGAGGCTACAGTGACTGAGTGTGCCCTCTCCTGCTACACTACCGTCTCTCAGTGTACTTCTACCCAGTACCTTGGCACTTCTTCTGGTATTGAGCTTCCGACTGGTTCTTCGGTTATCCTGTCTGAGTCTGAGACTCCCACCAACGTCATCTCCCTCCCTACTGTTTCTATCCCTTCTACCAGCATCTTCGCCAACACTTCTGCTTCCTACACCTCTATCCCCGAGATTTCCAGTGTCGTCTCCCAGCCGGATGTGTCCATCGGCTCAAGTGCTCTTGCTGGAGGGACTTCATCTGAGCTAGAGTCTACAGTATATGGATACTCTACCAGCACTGCCACTCTGGAGGTGACTTCCGAGATCGTTAGCAACCTGGAGACTATGCCTACCTTTGTCCCGAGTGTCGACTCTTCTGCTCTTGCACCTGGTACTACCCAGTTCCCACAAGGTGGAGAGTCTACAACACTCTCTGAAGGCACAACTGAACAGATTTCTGAGTCTACTCCCTCCGAAACAGGGTCGGTTTCAACTGAGGGCTTGGGCACCGAGACTTACGTCTCTCAGCAAGGCAGCTCTACCCTCTCTGAAGACACTGGCGCTTCTACGGTCCCTGAAGGAGTCTCCACGACCACACTCAAGTCGGTTATCACAAATCAGGTCACACTCTCGGAGAGCAAATCAACTGTTTACACTGCCTCCGCTGAGGTCTCAAAATCTGAGGAGGCCACTGAGGTCATCGAGACATCCTCTCAAGCAGGTAGTGCTAGCACCGAGACTGGTCAGGGTCCTGCTTCCACCACGGACGTCAGCTCTGAGGCTGCTAGTATTCCTACTGCTGAGTCCACAGCCGCTGGAGCGTCTACCCTCACAACTGAAGTAGATATTTCTACCACTACACCATGCACATCAACCAAGCACACTCACATCTATGACAACACCACTATCATCCACAGCACAGCCGATGCCAGCGTTGACTCTTCGGCCTTGGCTGGATCCTTCACTTCGGCTTCTTCCCTCGCATCTGAGTATACCTCTGTCACCTCCGATGTGACTGAACAGACTACAGCTCCTGGCGCTGAGACATCAGAGGGCCAGGCTGGAGTGTCCACTTCCGAATATCTTGAGAGCACGAGTGAGACTGCCGTTATAGTCCAGACTACTCTTCCTACTGAGTTCATCCCCATCGAATCCACCGCTACTCAAACAGACTCTGAGATCGCCACTCCCTCTCAACCCATCGAAACACCAGTGCCTTCTGCAGAGCCAACTGGTCCTCAAGGCTATGACTTCGGACCCAGCTCCAACGACGGTTGGCCCTCTGCTTCTTTCGCCTCCACCGCTGATGCAGCAACTGGTTTCACCACTCTCCTTACCACAAGCAAGGTCACCGAGGAGTCTTCCACTACCACTGGAGTCAAGGAACCCAAGTATGAACCACCTGCTTACGAGCCTCCCTCGTACCGTGAGCCAGGATCTGTCCGTAAGCGATGGGGTTTCTAATGGTGAGGAGATGTAATGGCATTTTATGCTTTCTTTCTCTTTCTTTCTTTTGAATGACTTGATGTCTTTCTACTTATTTGATTGGGCCTTTATTTTGTATGGAACACTTACTATGGTATTGGCATTTGATGGGGGTAGATAATTGATAGAAAATACAACGGAGTGGTTTTACAAGTGTTCCTTGCCGTGCAGGATGTCTGTCAATACAAGGAGCTCTTGACGTGATGGTTCATGGGGGATTGACTCTTCTATGATCCATTAAGAGTACTCGATATGTCTACAGATGATGAACATCTATCTTACGCCATGTATATTCACTCCACCCATCCAATTCATCTTCCAAAGACTCCTATTATCCCTACGCAACCTCCCAATCCATCGGCTCAACCATCCACTCCCACTCGTCATCCCCCTGAACCTCTGCCATGACCATATGTTCATCCCCATCATCCCACTGCCTCTGTATCGCTTCCTGCATTCTCCCTGCTGCAATGCCATACCCAACCTCCAACCCTCCCAAGATCTGTCCAACAAGCCACGTCAGATCATACATCTTCAATGGCGGCGTTTCCTTCCCCTCAGTAACATCCTTCCAGCGGTTCCGAAGCTCTTTCGCCTTACGCAGTGCTTGGTTCACTTCACCCTTCCCTAGCGCTTCGTGGACCGGACAATCTGGCATTTCTAGCTCCATGAGCACGTTCTCGTGATAGGTGTGATTTCCCGTTTTGTATAATGTCCCGCGCGAGACTGATATACCGAAGACCATCAGGAGAAGTACAAGCGCTTGTTCGATCCATGCATAAAACTCATGGAAGTCAACTTTGAAGTTCCGCTCTGCGTCTGCGATCAAGAAGCCGAATTCCTCTGGATTTAACGCGCGATGGTAAGAAGTCTGTAAATCGATGTACTTCCATCGTAGACGCTGACAAGCCTGCTCGAAGCGGTGAAAAGCCTGTGTTGGGTTTAAGCGCGTAGTCGATGTTGTTATGGAAACTGGGTTTCTTGGAGGGGCTGAAGATGGTGGGGGCCGTGAAGGTTGCGAGGATGCGCGTGCTACAGGCTGTGAAGATGAGCGCGTTGAAGGAGCTGAGTTTGCGAGGCGGGAGCGGCCGTTTATGGCCCAGATTGAGTCTTGAAGACCTGTTGGAGTTTTGGACATGTCGGATATCGTTGAAGAAGAGGTTATGGTGATTTGTGAGGGTGAGCAATAGTCATGAGCGTTGGCGTTGATGAGTTCGAGATGCCACGTGAGTGAACAATGCGTAGATGAGCATAGAAGCGCACAATTAGAGCTTTCAATTGTTCATTCAACCTCAATACAGGGTCTCCTTATCTCATATTCTCCATCCGTGGAGAGCTGTTTGTTCTCTGTTCGTTCCGTGAAGCCGAATGTCACAATGAAGCAAGGCACGAGCCCGTGATTTTCATAACTAACTTAATGCATGCGTTTCAGGTGCGAGTTAGAATGACAAGCTGTTTGTTAGCGCTATAAAGGACATGCTGTGGTGAACAAAGGAATGAGATCATGAATGAATGTGAATGTGAATGTGAATGTGAAAGTGCAAGATCAAAGAGAACAACGCTCAACTCAATCCGTGGTTGACGGCATCGGATTCATAGCTTCTGATTGGCCAATCCATCGGCGGTTAACGGTTGGCTGCGCAAACATACGCCCTGAAACAACACCAAGAAATCATCACCAACAGTAATCATACCCTCGTTAGTAATCATCGTAGATCCATGTCGTAACCATATCTGTATTGATATATACAATCTCCACGTATCGACACAGCCAGCTCAACCAGCTTCACTACCAATCCCATGTCCAGAAATCAATCAATAGCCTTGCTCGCCTAACAAACACATCATAAGCTGGCCATGCAACTAGGCCAGGCGACAGCACTCAATCATATATGCTCCCCAACTCCCTGCTCTGGATGCTCTGTTCCAGACGCTATCCTCATGACCCAACTCAAAAGCAGCAAAATAAACACAACTCCATTATTGACGTCTGACCTCCTTGTCCGTGATCGACAGTTTATACAACGGCCCTGCCTATGTAGAGTCGCGAACCTTCTTGGTAGCCTTGGCTGTACCAATGTGAGTGTTGTGCACCTACTCCTGTTAGCGTTGCTTTAACTAAATCATAAATGATTAGACATACCTTTGTTGCAAATCGAAGACTCGTCAATGTTTCCTTCAGATGCTGCTCAAGAGGCGACACCATGACAAACATCAGAGTCTTGCTGTTGCCGCCCAAACTGTACTGCAGCAAGTGCGTCAACTTGGAGTTGCGGTATGGAATGTGTCCTGAACCTCGGCCAAGGGCCTCAATAACATCACCAAGACAGCTGAGACTCTTGTTGATGTTTTGTGTCTCCTTCATGCGGTCGCCCTCGGCCTGTGAATGTTTGAGACGCTCGGAACCAGCCAAATCGACCAGGTTGAGCGTGCCCTCGCATCGCTCCCCTGTAGCCGAGTTCTCTCCGATCAGCTTCAGGATGAAGATACTGTGAGAACGAGATGACCGCTCGTTGGCCTTGGTGGCAGCCACTGATCGGTTGTTCTGCGCTTCTTCAAGCATAGTCTCTACACTCGATGGGCTGTCGAGGCGGACTGACGTGCAATTTGTGATGGTTGTCTGTTTGCGAGCTTCGTCATGTCGGATCTCGAGCCTCTTGGCCGATCGCTCATTTGGCGTCAACAAGTCGTTGAGTTCCTCATTGTACACCTCAACGAATGAACCCTCCATTGTGTACTCCCAAGACTTCTCCTTGAGCTTGGTGATGGTGTCATAGATCATGTGGGTGGCACGAGGTATCATGCCATCATTTGAGGACATAGTGTGTGTCTTTCCGGATCCGGTTTGGCCGTAACAGAAGATACAAACATTGTATCCATCAAGAGCGCTTTGAACAAGCTGAGAGATCTCACCAAAGATCTCCTGGTTCTGAGTGCCAGGAACGAAAACGCGATCAAACTCGAAGGGATAGTTCTTCCGTGTGATCTGTCCCAGACTACTCTTCTCCTCAGGACCAGCCAGAACAATTTCCGCAGAGGTTTTGTCATCAGGGAACAACATCTTAGCCTCCTCACCCTCGCCATTGCCAAGTGCAGGTCGCACACGACACATGACTCGGATGTTGCCCTTGAGTTCTTGGTACTTATTGAACAGCACTCGGCGCTCTGTCTCCTCCTTGATGAGTTTGTGTTGGGCCTCCTCTGCAATGCGCAGAGCTTCTTGGAGACGCGCTTCCATACTGGAAAAGGAGTCGGATTGTGCCTTACTGTCAGATTCCAGAAACTCGACATGCGACTTTAGTGAGTTAATCTTGGCCTCGAGTGTTGTGTTGGCTGCTGACAGCTCGGCGATGTTGGTCTGCAGGCTATTCTTCAATGTACGTTCCCGCTCGAGGTCTCCTCGAAGGCCTTCCACTTGAGAGTTGACTTCTTGAAGTTCCCGATCCTTCCTCTGGATGGCGATTCCCATGTCTTGATGCTCATTGCCCATTCGAAGTCGTAGTTCCTGGATTTCGCGGTCCTTCTTCTGTCGCTCTTCGGCCAGCTCTTGATGGTACATTCTAGTCAGACTCTCGATCTTTTGCTCGTGATCTTTCGTCTCTTGCTCTTTCAGCCGGTCCAGTTCCCTTCGAAGCTCGTCGACTGCTGTTCTGTGCTGTCTTGACATGTCGTCGATCTTTTCTCGATGCTTTCGTTCCAGGTCATCCACTTGTCGTTGGTATTCCCACTTCTGTTTCTCCATCTCATGTCGAATTTGGCGTCCCTCTTCCCTTGCAGCGTCGAGATCGGACTTGAGTGCGTCGTTCCTCAGGTCAAGCTTCTCTCTGTCGCCCTCTAACTCTTGCACTGTGGTCTTGATTAGTAGCTGGACATCCCAACTCACGATACTACCTACCTCGCTTCTTGGCAAGTTCAAGAGCATCGTCTTGTCCCTTTCGCTCGCTCAAGGTAGTATTTACCATCTCCTTGAGTTCTTTGAATTGAGACTCCATATCAACTACTCGGCCGTCGACGTCCCAGGCTACATATGATGTCAGGTTAGAATCTTTGTTCAAAAAAGACTTGCTAGGAGAGGTGTTCTTGACGGGGGATGTGAATTGTTTGACTGGCGATAAGGATAAAGATTCTTCGAATTCATGGAGCTTCCTCTTGACTCTCTCGTCAGTCAGTGGCTTCGGAGGGACTGCCTAAGGCCGCTCTGAGGAAGTCTGGCGGGAGGTTGAAGCTGGCATGTTGTTCTGATCATCTCTACCACGGCGCTTGCATGGAATATTAGAAATATGTGAGGTGGTTGAAGATTGTGAAGACTGTCGTGTTAAGGGTCGGGAAATCGCTTGACTTCCAGCAGGGATTTCGTCTTCAGGGCTCATCTCAAGGATTTCTGGAGTTAGAGAACTATCTCTGATTGTTGGCAATGTTGCGAAAGACTGTGAGTTTCTGATCTTGTTGTAAGGAAGTGTGGTGATGGGTTGAGAAGTATCTTGCGAAAGTGTCGCCGTACCATTGTTGGTTGGAGCTTCGTATCGGTCTTCTTCGCGGAGAGCATGGGCCGTACGCGGCCGAGGCGCTTGACTCTTCGATCGGGCATGGCCAGGACGTCCGTTGACCCCATTGACCCCACTGACTCCGTTGACTCCATTGATTCGTGATGTGGCTGTCGGAGCACCGTTTCGAGCGGCCTGGTTCCTGCTAAAGACATTTGAAGATGCGCCGTAACGTGACTGGATGGCCGAGGGTTGCTTGAGCTAGGGAGAATTAACACCTGCCATGCGATCCTGATCATCCAGCAGATCAACTTACCCCGGAGGACATTCCGGCCAAACTCTGGGGCCTCATATTTGATCTATTACCGGTTGCGGTGGGAACATGCGATGTTGGCTTGGAAGGATATTCGAGGGCGCGATCAGAAAGAGGTTTGCGCTTCGGGTCAGATTGCGATGCTGCTCCATGTTAGAGAGAACGACGATAGACGATCGTTCCTGCGTACCTGGCTGAGGAACATCTCGCTTCAGATTCTTGAGAGCCGACAACGAACTTGCCGTCGACGCAATGCGAGCATTATGTTGCGATTCACTCCATTCCGTGAGCCCAGCCCCTCCAGCCCCTATTGACATCGACATGGACGGCGCCGGCAGTCGACTAATCTTGGAGCTCCTAAATGTCTACACCCAAGAATCGTCAGCTTCTGAAACATGAGGCCACTAGGTAAACAACGTACCGGATTCTCCTCCATGGTGAAAACAATGCGCCCAAACACGGGGACCAGGATATGGAAAGCAAGGAGCAGTGAAGCACCCGTATGAAGAACGGTCGCAGGAGGCGTTGCGAATATGCGAAGGATAAAAAAAGAGTAGCGTAGAAAGCAAAATGGTATCAGTACACGCTTGGTCTCTAGCGCATGGGGAGCTACGTGATATTATGGTTGGTTTCGTGAAGAGCCTGATGCGGGATAGCTCGGTTGGAGATTGGCGATTCGAAGCGTTTACTTGTTTATGTAAACCCGTTGCTGGGGCAATGAGTCCGAGTCGCAGTGCATTTGGAGATACCCCACCAGCCAATGAGCCGTGTTGGAACATGAGATGTAGGATGATTGTACTTTACAAAATGCTACCCTTCTAATGAATATTTTTTGTCAATAATCAATGCTCTTGTGAAGCTGTCTCTTCTTCTGTTTGTAGTGGCTGTAGCTTTCTGGTACATAAATCATGCTGCAGACAATGCCAAACCGTTTTCAACGCAGCGCGCCAGGGCTTGAGTTTATTTAATTGTGTTCAGGTGCCAATGAGCTTCTCCTCACAATAATTCGATGCTGGCCGCCTTCGAATGTACCTTGAGCTCCGACCTCAATCAAAGAATAGGAGCACCTTTACTCCGTACACTGAGACAAGTTCAGTCCATGGTTCAGTCCTCTGATCTTTTGGTCTTGGATACAACTCAGAAGCATATGTATAAGTAGAGAAATAGACCCAACGCAGCTACTTTCAAAGATGTCCGTACAGATAGGTGAACTATGGTTGTAATTGGCAGGGAGCTTATACAGTTAGCATGGAGCCTTCGGATCATAACTAGAAGATGTGGCAGATCAGCCAGAAATGTCGGGCTCCGAACTTGTCGGAGCTTTGAAGGATGCTGCCAAGTCATCACTCCACCATAAACTCGACCTTCTTCTGTTACCAGTAATTTAGCCTAGGTAGGCCGCCCACCCTTTTGTGTGAGAAATGATATAGCAATTCACTGAGACACCAAGTTATAAGAACTTTCACATATGAACAAATTATTAAATCCTCGTCTCAGAGGCATATCAACCCGTGTAATAATATGACCTAACTAACCCAAAAACATTGCCAACTCGCTGACTCAGCGGTCAGAGCAAGCCAACCTACTAACGTGGGGGCCACATATTAACATTCACATTCACATGTCACCCTCGATCCATGACATGACGTTCAGTAGATGCGCTGTCGCAGAACCTGACCTCACAACGCCGTCTCATTAGTCCTCGCTACGATAATCTGAATCGCCTTCATCATACGTCGCTGGCAACATAACATAAAGACATAGCTCCCAAGCTCTTCCATGTCTCGATAGCTTTACCCCTCCGCTTGTCCTCTTTGTCCTTGTCTTACACACGATCACCAACAATATGGAAAAATACAGCCAATTTCGCGACAGAGGTAAATTTCTGCATGGATCGATAATATTCACATGCTAATCATTCTTAGCAACGGGCATTGCGCCGTTTCTTCCCGTTTCGACGCCCGTCTCAGCGCTCGCGACTTTCACCCACGCCGCTCTTTTCCTCTTCCGCCTCCCATTCTTCATCGCTTACTTCCTCGGCTACTTCCTCTTCTTCCACTTCCTCCCGCTGCCAGTTATCTTTCGAAAGGTTGCACTATGGGGGTTGATGGCCATACCAGGAATATGGTGGGTTGACCTTCAGCTCGACGGTGTCAAACGTGGCACCCTCGCCGACCAACCCCGCGAGCGTTTCCCGCACCCTGGTTCAGTTATCGCTGCCAACTTCTCGAGCCCTATCGATGCTATCTACCTCGCTGCTATCTTCGACCCGATCTTTACCATTTCGTACCCCGATACTCGCAAGGTGCAGCGTGTGAGCTTGCTGGGTGCTGTTCTGGCAGCTCTTTCGCCTGTGCAGACTGGCCCCCCTAAAAATGCGAAGCTCGTCGAGATTAAGGATCTTTTGGACAGCAGCCCGGGACAGGTTATCGTTGTTTTCCCTGAATGCGGCACCACCAATGGCAAGGCTATTCTGCCTTTCAGCCCGAGTATCCTTCAAACACCAGCCGACGTCCATATCTTCCCTGTTAGCATTCGATACACGCCCTCCGACATTACGACACCAGTGCCTGGAAAGTGGTTCCGCTTCTTGTGGGATCTTCTCTCGCGACCAACGACGTGCATTCGTGTGCGCATTGCTGAAGGCCAAATCAACACATCTGCCGCAAAGACCAACGGTGTAACATCTTCTTCGTCCGAGCTACGCAACCGCGGTGATGCTAGCTCCGGCGTTTCACCAGACGAGCAGCGTGTTCTTGATCGAGTAGGCGAGGCACTCGCCAGACTAAGTCGCGTCAAGCGGGTTGGCCTTACAATGAAGGACAAGGCGGCCTTCGTGGACGCTTTGAGCGGAAAGAAATAAGTACTTGTGGGAGAGCTGGAAGATCTACGGTTGATATGACCAGTGGGGTATTGCTTCAATTGAAGTGAAGTTCTGTTTGGAGTTCGCATTGCAAGGAGCTATTGGAGGTCATTCTGTTCAGTCGGCCTAATACCCACAATCGTTCGTGGATCTGCGTTTTGCTCTTGCGGTTTGTCTTTTTCTGGTTGTTTCAAGATACGCATTCTACGTTATGGCTTGTTAGGTAGACTTGTCAGCCCAGAGCATTTTCACGTATCAGCGAGGAGGCACTTTGAAGGCATTAAGAACGAAAAAAACATTGGGATATAAGTTCTGACCCAGAAAAATCTAAATTCGCCTTTTCCCACCCAATTAAACAGGAATTACATCGTTACATTTGACAATTCTTTTGGCTTTCGTGAGCCTTTTTAGTTCTTGAGACCGCTATCGGTGACACAGCCCTCACTGGCGTTTCTCACAAGCTGAGCGTACTTGCTCAGTGTACCCTTGGTGTATCGAGGAGCAGGGGCCTTCCAGGCCTTGCGACGTCGGGCAACCTCCTCCTCAGGGACGACAAGATCGATAGCACGGGTCTCGGCATCGATGACGATGGAATCACCGTCCTCAACGAGAGCGATGGGACCACCCTCCATAGCCTCGGGGACAATGTGGCCAATGATGAAACCGTGAGAACCACCAGAGAAGCGACCGTCAGTGAGAAGAGCAACGTCCTTTCCAAGGCCAGCACCCATGATGGCGGAAGAAGGCTTCAGCATCTCAGGCATACCGGGACCACCCTTGGGACCGTCATATCGGATGATAACGACGGTCTTCTCACCCTTCTTGATCTCACCAGCCTCGAGACTGGCAATGAAATCGGGCTCAGAGTCATAGACACGAGCCTTACCCTCGAATCGGAGACCCTCCTTACCAGTGATCTTACCGACACAGCCGCCAGGTGCGAGAGAACCACGGAGAATCTGAATGTGACCGGTGGGCTTGATGGGGTTGCTCAGGGGTCGAATGATGGTCTGGTCCTTAGGGAAACCAGGCATGTTCTCAACGTTCTGCTTCATAGTCTTACCGGTGACGGTGATACCGGAGCCATCGATGATGCCCTCCTTGAGCAGGAACTTGAGAAGAGCGGGAGTACCGCCAATCTTGTGCATATCGGCCATGACCCACTTTCCAGAGGGCTTCAGGTCGGCAAGGAAAGGAGTGCGGTCGGAAACCTTCTGGAAGTCTTCAATGTCAAGCTTGATACCGACAGAGTCGGCAATGGCGATAAGGTGCAGGACGGCGTTGGTGCTGCCACCGAGGATGGTTGTGACGATCATGGCGTTCTCGAAGGCCTGGCGAGTCATGATGTCGCGAGGTCGAATGTCCTCCTTGAGAATGTTGCGAATAGCAGGTCCAACGCTCTCGCACTCAGCCTTCTTGCTAGGATCCTCAGCAGGGCTGCTGCTGCTACCGGGAAGAGTGAGACCAAGAGTCTCAAGGGCGGTGGCCATGGTGTTGGCAGTGTACATGCCACCACAAGCACCACCACCAGGGCAGGCGTTTCGGATAATGTCGAATCGCTGCTCCTCGGTGATCTCACCAGTGATGTATTGACCGTAGGCCTGGAAAGCGGAAACGATATCGATGGACTCTCCCTGCTTAGTGCAGCCAGGACGAATGGTACCACCGTAGACCATGATACTGGGACGGTTGACACGGCCCATTGCAATGGCGACACCGGGCATGTTCTTGTCGCAACCAGGCAAGCTGATGTTTCCGTCGTACCACTGACCATTCATGACAGTCTCGATACTATCGGCGATAATCTCTCGGCTCTGGAGCGAATATCGCATACCAGTAGTGCCCATGGAAATACCATCAGAGACACCAATGGTGTTGAATCGGTAGGGAATAAGACCAGCCTTGGCGACGGACTCCTTGACGATAGCGGAGAGGTCCATGAGGTGCATGTTACAAGGGTTGCCCTCGTACCAAACGGACGAGATACCAACCTGAGCCTTGTTCATGTCATCCTCTGAAAGACCCGTGGCGTAGAGCATAGCCTGGGATGCGCCCTGGGCCTTGGGCTGGGTGATGTTGGCGGAGACCCTGTTGATCTTGTCATCGGCGCGGAGGGCAGAGGCGGAGAAGAAGCGGCTACAGAGGAGTCAGTACTCCCAAGATAATTGAGCTTTCAATTGATTGTTCGAGATGGAGTAACTTACCCATTGCTCCTCGCAGAGAGGGGGAAAGCTCCCACAGCTCTGGACCTCAACAACGACCTAGAAAGCATAATGACGACGTTTAATCTTTTTCAACGTGCGAAGGAGAAAAGAAAAAAACCGTCAATTGAAGCTTCAACCACAAACTCAAATTGCGTATGAAGAAAGGTCCGACGCCTGAGTAAAAGCGGTGGGATGAGTTTGTGGACTTTTCCTGGCTTGCGATGTCGGCTGTGGTTTTGTTTCCCAAAATTTAGGTTCCCTGTGATCTTCCCTGTGACTGGGAGAGGGGAGAGTCCAGGGTGCGAAGAGCTCCCCGCATGACAATTGGAGTGTTTTAATTGGTTAGGTGACCTTATGGAGATGGTTCTTCGGGGGAGGTGCTTCAATTCCGGAGGGAGGCTTAAGCGTTGGAGTCCACTTTGAATAGACTTATCCACTGAACTCGTCTGATTGAAGCTACGGATGCAATGTAAGATCGTCCATGATGCCGAGGATCCGGCCTCTTCGTGTGAGTCTATGTGATTGTATTGATGTGCTGTTTTGATCTCATAGTGAAGTTATAGAAAGTCGAGTTGAGAATATACGGATTGTCACCCTGGTCATCATTTCAGAGCGAGACCGGCGGATTATGGATGTAGACCCCTGCTGTTTGATCGGAGTGTTTATTGTTCTGAATATATCTTCATAACTTCTATGGCTTTTGTACTCTCTATTTCTATCAAGTCTCATTCGTATGCTAATAATCATCAGTGCCAACTCGCATAAACAGCCGAACCACTGGCCATGTCTTCGTCCAAGTCTTCAAGATCCATGCTGAGAAGCTGAGCCCCTCCTCATTGAACGACATTCAACTGTCCAAGGCAACCCACTCCAAATCATCCAGTGCCTTCTTCATCTTCTTCGAAATATCCTCAATAAACTCAAACTTGAAAACCTCATAGTGATGTCCCTCAATATCCACCACATCAGCAAAAAAGCTCTTGTCGTACATATCCCACCCCAGATTCCGCTCCTCACGGCTCCAGTCCACAAGATGAGTACCCTCCGCCGAGGGCACGGCCTTCTTGGCCCGGAGGAGACTAACCCGGGGCCGGCGTCCTTCGTCCCAGACCGGAGGCGTCCAAGCTTGAATCATACGGCGAGCATCGGCCATAGCTAGATCTGCCAGAATCTGGTTCTTGTTCTTTCCCTCCTTGGAGTCCTCGCCAGGGGCCTTGCGCTTTTCACTGGAGAACTTGTGAGGGTAGATTGTGTCGACCATGAGAATTCCGATGACGTCGATGTTGGACTCTTCAAGCTGCTTTGCGATTTCGAGACTCAAGTGACCGCCCATGCTCCATCCGCCAAGAAGAAGTCGGATCTTCCCAGCTGCGTTGCGACGTCTGGGAAAGTCGGGCTTCTCGACGGTTTCTTTGATCCAGCCGGTGTAGAGACGGGCCATGTCGCTGAGACCGCCGTCGAAAGGCTCGCCGCTGTGAAATTTGGGGTTGTAGATGCCGTAGACTGGGCGACGGAGAGGTTCTAAGCAGTGGTATGAGAATGTGGTGCCGCCGCCATCATGGATGAGAAAGACCGGGACAGCTTCACCGGTCTGCCAGTCCGCAGGCTGGACTATTTCGGGGTTTGTGTCCATGGTCGATGTCCAATGCCGACCTAATCTCTGAGTTTCAAGTTTTGCTGTGCTTGGTTCTGTTCTTACTAGAGTTGTATTTGTGAGTAAGAGAAAGAACTTGGCTGAGCGAGATCCTTAAGGGATGCTGAGATCAAATCCTGCAAACGATCAAATGCTGAGCAATAATTCGCTCAAACGAGAACAAAATAGCATTCTTCAAAAATGAAGGCAAAGAACAAACGGATGTCTAACAGGTCCGATACACGGGTACCGAACAAATAATCATAGCGCTGTGCTACCGAGTCTAACTCGTATCGGATCTTTGACCTTCGGAGTCTATCGGCGGCGGTGACACCTGGCGCCATCGGCAATTGCGGGGCCGTACCGTGATTGGAGGCCGGACAAACATTATATCTCACGCGGCAAACAATACGCTTCATTTTGTTGGTTATTCATGGTATCTCATTCTCTAATTCACCATTCCTAGGATCCTTTTCCCTAAATGCGTTCAACTTTAGGCAATGCCAAGTATCCCTGTAGTCTCCAAAGAAGCAGATGCAAAGCTCTCATGCTTCCACTTCTAAAGTTTCTCAACACCAAGATCTCATGGTCTCGAAATACCCGTGACTTCTCTCTCAACCTCCCAAGCTCTTCTTCTCCCAGTAAGTATCGCAGATCATGAACTGCTATCTTACTGCCATAAGAAGTATCTTCTATATCAAGAGTCGCATAACTGTTCATGTTCTCCATATCCTCCTCTGGAATATAAAGAATTGATCCACCTCCTGGAATGCTCTTCGCCTCTTCCCAGCTGGCAACTGGCCTTATGAATTTGTGTGGCGCCCATAAACCTTCCCTGCAAGAGCGTGTAATGAGTGTGTCAACAGCCAATCGTCGCATCATCCCAAGAAGCACATCGCCCATGTCTGTTCGAAAAATCTTTCGTTCGACATCAAGTTCTAGGTGTGCCATGCCTTGGTGGGAAAACATCTTTTTTTGAAAACCTCTGCTGCCCTTCCTTCCACTGACTCCTCCGATCAAATCGATCAGACTTTTGCGCGCGAGAGTGTAGGCGACGATGCGCGCTCTTCGTTCTATCAGTCCCTCGTTTGTTTCCATATCCTCGACGCCTACTTCTGTGCTTGTATCAGCTTCGTTACCTTGGTCTCCTGGTATTGCTTGGGTCGACGTTGTTTTGTCTTCCGTAGTCATTTTTTCGACTTCGTTTTGTACAAGTCCGATTTGCCTCCGCAATCGCTCAATCCCCTTGCTTATTGATTTCAAGTCATTGGAGTCCATCTCAATTTCTCGCTCTTCTCTTGTCGGCTTGACTCTCAAGAAAGATAATGGGCCTGGTGCCCACCACTCGCTCTTCTCCTCAGGATCTGGGTGCTCGACCAATTCGAAGTCCTGCAAGAAGTATTTAGGGAGGTAAGCGCTCGTATTCTTGCAGCATCTTATCGGACCCGTCAATGCTTCCGCGTATGGATTATTTGATAGCTTCTTCCGAAATTGTCCTGATATGACCGTGGGCATCGCTTTTCTCGTACGTCGCCTCGCCTGCATGAACTTGTAGTCCATCACTGGGGATATCGGTAATCTCCCAGCATCTGTGTCTACAGTCTTGTCTTCAGGATGGATTCTCGCTCGTTTGCCGCTCGCCATTCGATCGAGTTCCGATTCGATCTGATTCAAGAGGGCGTTTTTGCTCAATTCGGATTTGTCGTAAGATGCCCATCGTTTTTGGCAATTAATCGGTAACCTAGGAGTTCTAATATGGCCAGCGCAGGCATTTGTGTATCTCTTCATGGTGCTCGTGGTGTTATAACCAACTCATCGTAGACTTGTGATGCTTTGTTTGTCGAAAAGTGTTTGAGGAAGAACTGGTAAACTTCTCCCGTGGTCGGATCGTTATCGATAAGAGCACCAGCTTCGTAAAGCTTCCCCCCACCAATTCCGCCCGGCCCCGGTCCGTAAACTTACATCACCGTTCACATACATTCGCGATCATGTTTCTACGGCCAAGAACGCTGCGCGTATTGCGCAGCGTGTCGCAACAACATGTGAGAGCTTTTGGGTTCTCCAGTTCTTCCGGAAACTCGCCAATGTCACCAAGGGGTAACATTCCCATGCCCTACATCGAGGAGTCGTCCGTAAGCTACCTGAGTTCGATCTGGTCGGAGCACAGCTAACAAGTGCAGGCTGCCGGAAGAAAGACATGTTTGTTCGGATTGGAGTCACAAATGTTTCAAGAAGCTGATGGATTGTAGGGGATATCTTTTCCAAGCTACTGCAGGTGAGGAGAAGTTCTAGCCGTCGAGCTGTGGTTGCTAACAGTTCTAGGAACGCATCGTCGTCCTGAATGGTGAAGTTAACGACTACATGTCCGCTTCGATCGTGTCACAGCTGCTTTGGCTCGAGTCCGATACCCCCGATAAGCCGATCACGATGTACATCAACTCTCCTGGTGGTTCCGTCACCTCAGGTAGGTTCGCCCGACAACCAATTTACAATCGAGGCTCACAAGGAGCACAGGAATGGCGATCTACGATACCATGACATACATCAAGTCACCAGTGTCAACAGTGTGTGTTGGCGGTGCTGCGTCGATGGCCGCCATCCTCCTCGCCGGAGGTGAAGCAGGCAAGCGATTCTCTCTTCCTCACAGCTCGATCATGATCCATCAACCGCTCGGTGGCACTCGAGGCCAAGCATCTGATATCATGATTTACGCAAATCAGATCCAAAAGACACGGGAGCAGTCAAATAGAATCATGCAGTATCATCTCAACAAGGCTAAAGGTCATGAAAAGTACTCTCTTGAGGAGATTAATGATCTGATGGAACGGGATAAATATCTGTCGCCGGAAGAGGCTTTGGAGCTTGGAGTCATCGATGAGATTTTGACGAAGAGGCCTGAGTCGGAGCAAGAAAAGAAGGAGAAAGAAGAGAAGCAGGGAGGGGCTGATACACCCCAGACGAGTTGAGACTTGGTCCTTTGGGTTAAAGATGTATATTATTGCTAACAAGCGTCTATGAAATACATTATCGAATTTGCTTTGAACGGGACATTTTTGGAATCGACCCATAGTCAAGTTCTGCTTCCATGCTCTCAAGAGCAACACATCATTATTGAATCATTACAATAACCCTAGAAAGAAAAGTTCACGGTACAGGGTAGCTTCACTGCGTACGCTCTTATTAAAAGAAACTCACATGTAGATACTACTAGATGTTTTCTCAAGTATAAAGGGAACGAATCTTATGGTATCTAATTGAAGATGACATTATAGCTATTATACTTTTCGGCGTATTGCGTAGCGGCTACTATGGAAGTTCACCTGACACAGCGATATGTATATTAGAGAGGATGGTTTTCTGTGAAATTTAACCAGCTGGAAAAAACGTTAACTACCTAGATCTGCCAACACATGTTTAGTCACTATTAGACATCGCTGCTAGGTTGGTCAAGGCTTGTGTCGTTCAACTTTTTGTCAACAAAGAAAGCCAAAGTTTATGAGAATATTTGAGAACCAAGTTTCATGATATGTACTAACTGTCCAACCACTTATGGATATTGTGTAACAGCGTCCTCCAACAATCTTTGTACGTAGAATCGTAGATACACTTTCAAAATATATACACTCTTCAAAAGAGAAAGTCTCCAACCCATGAGTTTAGTTGTGGTCGATGCGGAAGACCGCAACATCGTGTGTCTGCAAGTTGGCCGAGACAGTCTTGCCCTTTCCTTTAGCACCAGTCAGAAGCTCAGTCCACGAGTACTCTTGATCCTTCAGTCCTGGAACATCCTTGAGGTTCAGCTGAGTGTTCAAGTTGCCCTTGCTGGCGACGATGGCGACAACAGTTCCGGTTGAGATGGGACCGGACCAGTAAGGGTAGATCTCGCTGCTTCCCTTGGTGGGAGTGTTGGGGGGAGTGAATGGCACAGCAGGCTTGGAGAGCGAGTCTTGGTTGACGGCGAGAAGGCCCTGGAGGATAGTTAGTAGATGTTAGGAAGGGCTGGGAAATGGTTGTAGGCACCTTGTTCGTGATCAACTTGACCTCGTCGCTGTTAAGCTTGGTCATGTCTGTTCCGAGAATGATAGGGGACTTGGTGATACACCAGATGGCAAAGTGAGTGCGCTCCTCAGCAGGAGTAAGAGCACCGTTGGCAAGGATCTATGTTTTGGTCAGCTCCCTCCATACTGACTCACAGCCGAGGACGGGCCAAGACTCACCATCATATCGAGATCATTGTAGTGGCCGGGTACAGAGTACTTCAGGATAGGTGCCGCCTGGTTAGCAATACGGACAACATCGGCCCATTTACCCCAGTTGTCCTGGCTCATTCGCCACATGTGTCCAACCTGAGCACCCCAAGTCCAAACCTCATCATAACCCCAGTTGCAAAGCGAATAGAGAATGTCCCTTCCTGTAGCACGAAGAAGATCTCTCATCTTCTCATACCGAGGCTTAGAGCTAGGTGCTTGGTTGTTGGGGCATGTCTGAATATCGGCAGCGTTGCCTGTGTTGCAGGGTGTGTAACAGTTGTCGTACTTCCAGTAGTCGACACCCCAGCTGGCAAGAAGATTTGCGTCTTGCTGCTCGTGGCCTTGGCTTCCTGGATAACCTGCGCAAGTCTTGACTCCGCCGTCGCCATAAAGACCGAACTTGAGACCCATTGCGTGGATCTCATCGGCCACTGGCTTGATACCTCTTGGCCACTTTGCGGGGTCAGGGACGAGGTTGCCATTGGAGTCTCGCTGCTTTGTAGACCAGCAGTCATCAATGTTGACGTATTGGTATCCGGCGTCCTTGAGACCCAGACTGATGAAGGTCTTGGCTGTAGCAAGGGCAACTTTCTCACTAGCTGCGTTACATTGTCCTTGATTCTGGTGTTACTGTTAGTGATGAACATATGGGATGATTTACTCGAGATGAACTCACCCAGCCGTTCCAGCCAAGAGCAGGAAGCTTGCCAGTTTCGCGAGTTTGAAGATGGTTTCGTGAAGGCACAGCTGTGGCTAATCCGGCGAGAGCCACGACACCAAGAGATTGAGTATTGAAGAACATTGTTAAAGACACTAGAGCTGCTGTTGAGTATGTACAAGATATCGACTGAAAAGGCAATGGAAACGTGATTCTTATATACACTTGACCCTTGAACATGATCGTCTAATTATGGTACGGCACTTGATGATGCTTGAGCTGCCGGCTAATAAGACAACCGGTGGTTAAAGTCGTATAAGTCGATACCTCCACAAAAACAAGTCCGGGGAAGGTCTCAGATCGGAATTGATCAACAAATCACACGACGCCCAACTCGTACTAATTGGCGCGGCTCATGGCCAACTCCCGTTTTCCCCAGGTGGAAGAATGCACTTGTTTTACCGCTTCAGCGCTGGTGATCCACCGAGGATGAAGCCGAGTACTACCTTCCTCTGCGCCGTGTATTTGAAGTCGTTCGATGAGTTGACCAAAGTGAGGTTGATGATTGGACTTGCGGGCCAATCGGAGGCGTAGCTAGTATTTCCTGACTGGGTTGAGGATTAGCGAAACGTTTTGGTGACCCTTTCATAAGCGGACCAAACATGATGTAAACCTAAACAACCTTGTTGAAACAGTCGATTCAATGCGGTTTCCTTAGGTCGGATGAACTGTCACTGCCTGCTATGTTTCTGCTTAATTGAGACGTGGGCAGGGTAGTCGGGATGAACGTGCCGGTTGAGTGGTGCGGATCTTGGGTAAACAGAAACATGCAGCTGATGATATTCGGACCGACATTACAACTGAAGTGCGGAATAGCTGTATACAGGAAGAACACCTTATTAGGACCTTGATGGCGATCGCTGTGATCAATAGAGACATAAGCCAGAGAAGAGGTGAAGACGAAGCAATCAGGCAAAGAAGAGAGATCTCGAGATACTTCACCAAGAGTATCAGCCGGTCAGATGATCGAATGTTTCATCCCGCCCGGCCTGAATTGCTGTAGAGGCTAGCTGGGAACGAGCCAGAGAGTCAAATTGCAGGAAAGGGGGATATGCTGTTTCAAACCATAGTCATGGATGAGTGGTGTAGAGTCTCAGGTCACTTGCACTACAAACTCTAGATGAACTGGCGAAATCGGCAAAGAGTTCTTATCATGCCAGAATGAAACATCATTTGTAACAGACTTAGACAATGATAACTATCAGTCATCTCACAATGTCCTCAGCTCATTATTCATGATTTTATTTCCTAATCAGGCAATTAGACAGCTCCTCCAAGCCTCAGTAGTCAGGTCTAGCCTCTCACGGTGTTTTCCGACCAGCTCGGCATTCGAAATTGTTCCTGACGTCAGATTCGAGACTGTTCCTGTTGAACCCCACCAAAAAAGTGCCCCGCGTACCCCTCCGCTTCCATGATGGCGGACCCGAGACCTTGAAATAATTGCTCCTTGAAGATCTTCAAGACCAATCAGCAGAAAACTTATTCCCCCTCCTCTTCGTTGTAGATTGTTTGTGCGAGCGAGATAATGGAGCACGACACCAAGACCCGTATGTGCTTCTCGACTCTACCCTCGAACGCGACTGACTCCGCCGACAGCCCAATATAAAACGAGCGATCCTACCTCGTTCGCGAGTGAATCTGTCAAGAGGCGATGGCCTGTCATTCTGGTAAGAGCCCTGAATGTATCGCTCATGAGGCACTCTCTGACTCTTAATTAGACCCAAGGAATTGACGATGTCTACCGCGCCGTTACCAAGACCAGCGATGCCGAGAAACTAGCGGAGGGCAAGAAGATTATCGAGCAACTCGCCAATCTCAAGTACGAGGTTGAGCACGACCGAAAGCTCAGGTACATTATCCCGCCTCAAGTACGAAAGAATTCCACAGCTGACAGCGCAGTCCTCTCCCCGACGATGGATTCACGGAAGAGATCGAGACATATAACAAGGAGCTTGAGGCTCTGGGCCCCGATGCTCACTGGTACGATGTACCATGGCTGTTCTCCGAATGCTACCTATACAGGTAAGTCCATGCGACAAGATCCCCCTAATGCGCCGCTCATAATGTGTAGACGCATCGCGGCCATATTCCGCATGACCGAACACTGGAGATCCTACGATCTTTTCGCCCGACAGAAGATGGACACTTTCCGATCATCAAGACCCGCCGTCCTCGAACTCGCTAGCAACTATAGACAATTAGTCGAGCAGCTCCGCGCTGATAAGGACTCGACACATGATCCCAACGCCGAGAAGACTCTGTTCCAGGAGATGTTTGAGATTTGCCTTTGGGGAAATGCTACAGACTTGTCACTACTCACAAACTTGACCTATGAGGATATCCAGAAACTCCAGGGCTCTGAGGCTCGTAAGGCGGCTGAGAAGAACATCCTCGTCAATGACCTTCCCAAGGCGTTTGATGTTCTTAAGAAAGCGCAAGCTGAGGGCAAGAAGGAGCGACGCGTTGATATCGTTCTCGACAATGCTGGCTTTGAGTTGTATGTTGATATGATTCTTGCCGGTTATCTTCTCTCAGCTGGTCTCGCCACACAAGTCGTCCTACGACCCAAGTCCATCCCTTGGTTCGTCTCCGACGTTGTGCCCAGCGACTTCAGCGGCTTGTTGAACGCCGTTGCCAACCCTCGTGCCCTGTACGACACGCCATCGGAAGATGAGGAACTCCAGGGCAAGAAGCCTGAGCCTCTCTCTGAGGACGGCGAGAGGGACCTCAAGTTCCTTTTCGAGGAGTGGGCTACGTTTCATGCTGAGGGACAGCTTATGCTCCGACCTAACCGATACTGGACTTATGGCGGTAGCTTCTGGCGACTACCAGCTGAGAACCCCGAGCTGCACGAGGAGCTCAAGGAAGCCGAGCTTGTAATCTTCAAGGGTGACTTGAACTACCGCAAGCTCGTCGCTGATGTAAGAAACCTCCATCTTGTTTGAAACCAATACTGACTCGTGACAGGCTGCTTGGCCCGCTACCACACCCTTCATCGAGGCTCTCGGCCCCATGGGTCCCTCGTCGGGCGTCAACGTCTTGTCCTTGCGAACCTGCAAGGCTGATGTTGTGGTTGGTCTTCCGGAGGGTAAGGATGAGGAGTTGAAGCAACTTGAGGGTGGCGGTGGTGATTCCGGTGCTCGAAAGTGGGCATGGAACGGAAAATGGGCTGTTGTGAACCTGTCTCAGGGTCGTTAGAAGGGGCAAGCAAGAATGTTGCTTTGATGATAAATGTTTAGACGTACAAAAGACATAATAGAAAACTTATAGCAATTACTGGGGATAATCTCCGTTCAATGATTTCAAGTTGCGGTACTGGCAGACATGTACGACTCCGTTTCTGCCTTTGAATCGAGTTCTACCGTGGTCACGCAGGCAGGCACGCACTGAAATACTGAATGCCATCGGATGATCAAATTGAAAACGATGAAAGAAGTCTATTCCGAGCAACGTTTTACGAACGGGACGTCGGACTCCGTTCGTAACTCATGATCAACCATCAAGAGAATCCCAGATTCCACGCTGCCCAGCCCTTTCTTGATAGCAAATATGACGTCGAGAAGCAAGCACCCCAGTGATGCTCTTATGTTGATTTCTCCTCAATCTCAGCTTTCTTCTTGTCCTTCTCTGCTTCCTCCGAAGCCTTTAGCTCTCGCTTCGCTTCTATCTGTGCGACGATGTCGGCGTGGATAGAGCCGGGCGTACGAGCACCACTATTGCGAACGCGATCCTGTTGGAACCTCTTAGTCTCTCGTCTCCAAATCTTGGGACTATAATACCTGATCGAGCGCAAGACGTCCATCGTTATAGGTCGGGCATACTTCTGCGTTGGGTCGCGCAGCAAAGCACTCGTGTTTAGAAACCAAGGATTGGGGAGCTTGAGAAGGGTCAAGTTAGTTGGAGGGAAATAGAATGCGAGAGGGAGACGAACGGTTTGATGTGCCTTGAAGGGGGCCTTCGCTTTTGGTAGTTGGGGAGGAAGCTTCCCACTGGTTAAGCACTTCCTGAGTAGGCATGATGAACGATTTGAAGCGTTTCAATATTTGTTAGAATAGGTTGGTAGAAATGCAGGGTTGAGTTGGCATATGAGGATAAATAGGTGGTTGAGTTAAGAAGATGAAGTTACAACTAGCGAAACAAAAAAGTCAAGTGATTTTAACCTCTCATGAAGCCTGACGTCACATGGATGCACATTAAGTTATAGAATCATGTGTGAGACTTTTATTCATCGCTGTTGTATTTGTGCGAAAGAAAGAACGAGTCGCAAAGGCTGTTATTGGGTTTCGTTGAACTCGGTGTAAGTCAAGCTGTCCATGATATTCAGTAGTGGTCACAAACCAATACTTAGTTGGTCTGATTACTATAAACTTGTGATAGTATTACTGATAAAATCAAGTATTTCATGAGAGACAGTGCATATAACTAGAATCCTTCTACATAACCGAACCGTTGCTGAAACCGAAGATGTCAAGTCGAAGTTATAATAGTCTGTCCCGACAGCTTGGGCCTCACCCGTCAAGGGCGCCAGAATTGACTTAGCAGACCCACTGACATCAAACTTGTCACTCGATGCGAAAGAGGGGGCAATGGGTTCAAAATATGCAGAGAAACCATTGATAAGTTATGATTTGTTAATAATCTAATTTCATCTCACCCTGATAGTGCCAATAACATTATTCCCTTTTCATTCTTGTGAAAGATGTTCCTACTTGAAGAGCCCCTAGAGGTACCCCAGACGCGGGTTCCTGATCTTCTGGAAGGCGCCCCGCAAATGCAAATGCAAACGGAGCTCCTCCGCATCAGGTGACGGTTTAGGTTCCTCATCTTGCATTGTACATCAACTTTAATTGACCTGATCAGCCATTGTAGCATCATCGACCGTTTATGACTTCAGCGGCGAGTCGTTGCAATGGATATGAACAGTGGACGCCCTCTCATTCCTCGCCTTCCAAACGGTGTCTCTCCTCAAAATCACAGCCCATCGAACACAAGACCTGCGGCATCGGCACGACGACAGATCCGCTCACGCGAGGGATGTTTAACATGCAAGTATGTATAAACAAAAAGTCAACAAATCTAGAGCC